CTTGTTGGAAACGAAGATGGAATCATTTAGCAGAAAAGAAGTTGATAGAATTGCAGGCAAAGACTGGGAGTTTGCTTTTGAACCTTCTATTGGTAATGCAGGTGGCATTTTAATATTATGGAAAGTTGTTGTTCTCTCCTTCCATTTTTTTTGTAAAACTAACCAATGTATTATGGGGATGGTTAATGGTACAAATGGTATAGTTTTGGAGGTGGCTGTTGTTTATGCTAATAAAGATAGATATGTAAGAAGGCAGGTTTGGGAAGATATTTCCAAGACACATAATTTGGATGCTCCCTTGCTAGTTGGGGGTGATTTTAATTGTATTATGTCACAAGAGGATAAGAAGGGTGGAAAGACTTTTCATTTCTCTGGGGCTGCAGGTGATATGGGAGATTTCATGGTAGCCAATGACTTGGTGGATCCAGGTTTTTCTGGTCCAGCTTTTACATGGACCAATAATAAGGATGCGAGCATGATTTTTTCTAGATTGGATCGGTTTCTGGTTAGCTCATCTATTTTGGATTCTTTTCAAGGATTAAAGGTACGACACCTTACTAGACTTGCTTCTGATCATTGCCCAATTCTATGTTCTTTTCAAAATGAGGTGAGAAGATCTTATTCACATTGGATAAAATTTGAAGATATGTGGGCTAGCTTTCCTAAAGCTTGGCAATTAGTTTGGGATAAATCGAGAGTGGATGATGAGGGTAAGGAGGCTTGCAAGCTCTATAAGAAATGTCAAAGAACTTTGAAAGCTCTATTTTTTTGGAGTAAAAACAAAGTTAAAATGTTAAATCAATTGAAGGAGGAGCTTGACAAGGAGATTAAAGTACTGTAGGAATTGTAATGTTTGCCGAGTGGTTTGACTGATGTACAAGCAGAAGCTCTGAAGTATAAAGTTCAATTGTTAAACAGTACTTTGGCTCGCCTAATGATGTGGTGGAAGCAACGAGCAAAAGTTAGATGGATTGAAGAGGGAGATGGGAACACTCGTTTCTTCCATTCGATGGCTTCGGCTAGGAGGAGAAATAATGGTATCGAATCTTTGAAACTTTCTGATGGGAATGTGGTCTCTAAGCAAAGTGATATTTTGAAGGGTATGCATGTGTTCTTTGAATAGAAATGGAAGGGACAAGGTGTTATTGAGCATGGATGGCCTTCCTTTGAGATGCAAAGGGATTATTTGTCACAATTTTCTGGAATTCTAGATAGTGATATCACCAAAGAGGAAATATGGGATGTTGTGAATTCTTTTGGCCGAAATATAGCGCCAGGTAGAGATGGGATTACAGCATCTTTCTTCAAGTTCTTTTGGGAGATTGTGGGGGAACAAGTGATAAGTGCTAGCTTGGAATTCTTTGCTGGTGGAGTTATGGACCCAAGTTGGAAGGAAACAGTTGTTGTGTTGATTCCAAAATTCATGAACCCAGATTATCCTTTCAAATTCAGGCCGATTAGCCTTTGCCAGACAATCTACAAGATTGTAGCAAAGGTTTTAGTCAACAGATTGAAAGGTGTTTTGCCACGGCTTGTGTCTGTGGAACAGGCAGCATTTGTTCCTAGTCGATCAATCTCCAATCATTGTTTATTGGCTCAGGAGTTGTTTAACAGATTTAAAGTTTCTAAATCAGCTTTGGGTCTCTTTGCATTGAAGGTAGACATGGAGCAAGCATATGACAAAATGAGTTGGAGGACATTGGAACTTGTTCTTAAACAGATGGGTTTCCCACCTAGATTCAGCTCTTGGTTGCTTAGCTGTGTTAAAGATCCAAATTTCACAATCCTGATTAATGGACAGCTTACTGATGGTATTAAAGCTGATTGTGGATTTCGTCAAGGGTGCCCTTTGTCACCTTATTTGTTCGTCATCTGTTCGGAGCTCCTATCTGCCAATATCCACCAAAATTACAAGGAGTTGGGTGTTCCAATCTGTGGTGGGGGACCTCCTGTCTCCCACCTTCTTTATGCTAACGATATTTTGCTTTTTGCAGGTACCACTATTCCTAATGTAAGGAAGACCTCTTCTATTTTGGAGGAGTATTGTTCTTGGACGGGTCAAAGAGTCAACAGGAGTAAATCTGCTATTCTTTTTAGCAAAAGGACTTCTTCTTCTACTAGATCCCAGCTTGCCAAGTTGATTGGTTGTAGAAAAGTTGAAGAGATGGATTATCTTGGGATCAAGTTAGCAGTGAGAAGACTGATTAAGAAGGACTTTGGTGCTTTGGTGCAGCATGCTCGTGCTAAGACATTGTCATGGGGAGTCAGACATCTGTCTTTGGCAGGTAGAGTTACCTTGATCAATGCTGTATTACTTCCATCATCTGTGTACATGGTGACTCATATGTTAGTTCCAAAATCTGTGCTAAATGAGATTGAGAAGATCTGCAGAAGTTTTTTATGGGATTTTGATGCTTCTCATAGAAGCATACATTATGCTTCTTGGGAAAATATTACTAAACCAAGAAGAAAAGGGGGACTTGGGTTTCATGCGAGTGTGGATTGGATTGGACCTCTCAGGTCACGAATTGCTTGGGATTTCATTAGCAAACCGACAGAGCTCTTTCAGAGATGCATGATTCATAAGTATGGGAAGTGGCCGTGGAGCGGTGGTTTCAAACGTGGTGATTCAAGTGTATGGAAGCTGATATGTGATGGAGCCAACAGTCTTAGCAGCTGTGTTCGTTGGAAGATTTGTAATGGTAGGAATATTGAGGTCTTGAATCATATCTGGATCTGGGATTTGGCTCTCTCGGTTTGGCCTACATTTTGTGATGTTGCAGCCATTGAAAACTTGATGGTAGCAGATTTTATTACCAATGCTGGAACTTGGGACACACAGAGATTGTTAATGTGTTTTGGTGTACATTTAGCCGAGAAGATTTCAGATATTAAAATCTGGAATAATGTTGATGCAGATTCCTTAGAGCTTATTAAGAACCCTCTTGGCTCTTCAATTTCAGCAACTGTTTACAATCAAAAGTTCAGGAGGATGATGATGTAAGTTTTTCATGTTTGAAAATGGGATTGAGGCCTCGGGAATGGATGTTTTGGTGGAGATTGTTTAAAGATATCATTCCAACGAATGCTTGGCTAAAATCTCGTGGTTTTGAGGTAAATGTAGATTGTCCAATTGGCTGTGGAGTTTCGGAAGACAGAGATCATGTTACTACCAGCTGCAAGCAGGTTTTGGATGTTCTTAAGGTGCTGGATGGTTGGGGATGGGCTACTCCACGGTTCTCTAAGTTTTTGGATCTTCAACTGGCATTGGAGGAAAATGTGAAAGCTAAAGATGTCAGGATGCTTGTGTACTGTCTTTCTGTGTTCCACTGCTGGACGAATAGAAATGCTATCAAACATGCTAAGAGAAGTTGTTCGCCGGTTTTTATGGCTGCAAGTATTTTGGAAGTTTTCAATCAAAGTTCTGTTCCTTTCCACTTGGAGCAACGGGGCATTAATCAATCCATTGGATTGTCTATTGATCCTTCTTGGTGCGCCCCCCCCCCCCCCCCCTTTCAGGTTGGCTAAAGGTGAATGTTGATGGTGCTCTTCTGAGATCTAATGCAGCAGGTGTTGGGATTGTTATTCGTGATAGCATGGGTAAGCTTATTGTGGCTGCGGGTTGGAGTATTTGCCATTGGGACAGTACTCAAGTTGAAATGTTGGCAATTAATTACATTGAGAAAATTCTTGTAGAGTGGATGTATGATTTCAAAGGAATTATTGTGGAAGGGGATAATGCCTCTGTAATTAGTTATATGCAGAAGGTTAAGGCTAAGGAGCTATGGAAGCATCAGTTTGGAGATTGGGAAAAATGGAATTGGATGAAATCATTCCAACAAGTTTTATTTGTGCATACTCACAGGAATTTCAACAAAGCTGCACATTTTTGTGCACAAAGAGCTATAGATGATACATTTGTGTGGGATATAGGAGATAGCTTTAATTGTAATATTCCTCAAGAATTCCTTAAGATTCTTGAGGATGATAGTTGCTCTTTTTCTTTGGCTTAGGGGTTTCTTTTAACCCTCTTTTAGTTTTACAGTTGTAATGGTTTTTTAAGAAATGCATATGCAAAAGTTCAGCTATATGCCTTTCAAAGCATTCGCAAAATTCATATGCATATCTTGAATGCATCAATGTGCACTTCAATGCATGAGGGTGGTATTTTTTGAAATATCCTAATTTGTTTGATTGCACATGTGATGATCATTTAGAAGATGCATAAGTTTTCATTTACAGGTTTGTAAATGCTTTCTATCCGCTTGTACAAAATTGCTGATGGTTGTGCAAGAGGTTCCCTTCTATAAACATCAGAGGTTTTATGGGGGACCTTGAGATTGGCAGTTTGATTTTACATTAAAAACATTTCGATCATTAGTTAGATTTGAGAAAGCCCCCACCAACATTTTCGGCTTCGTTTGTGACAGCTTTCTTACTGCTTCTTAAAGCAGTTTTCTAGTATAAAATTTTTTATTTTTTACTAAAAAGTTTATTTAAGAAGCAGTAAAAAAGCCGTCCCAAACGAACCCTTAATCTTCTCTCATTGTTGGCTTATATTGATGCATGAGATTCTGTCTCGAAAGGATCTTCTATTGCTTCTCTCCTTAATATAAACATATTTATGAATCTTACAGGTTGAGACTAATGCTTTGTTGCCAAATATACTAACTATTTCTTTCTTGGCTGACTCTATGTTCATTTAAGCATAAATTTCAATGCACTAAACTACTCTCATGGGTTATCAGGCAACATGTATATCCTACATGCGAAAATTCTATTGTCGAGTCATTTGTCAAATAATCATTTTGCTACAAAGAGCTGCCGGAACTCTGAAATATTAGCAATTATACTTTCTTTGCTATGTTTAAGTTATTTTTTTGTGTGAGTTGAACATAAATAAATTAAACGTGTGCTTTAGATTAAAAATAATGTTTTTTTCAGTTTGCTGACTTATGACTAACTGAATGCATTCTCAACCTTTGTTCATGGTATTGAAGGTGGACATTTGCACTAGTCATCGTTTATTTTGCGGTACACTTCTGCAACATTCTCCTAGTGTTGTTTGCTGTATCCGTTTTGGTAATCATTAAAATAATATCTTTACCTTTTTTTTTGTTGTATTGCTTATAGTTTGGTACTATGGCATCTGCTCATGGTTGCTGGACCTATTCAAAGCAACCTATTTCTGAAAACGAGGAGATAAGTTGCCTCCTTAGAGGAGACGTTGAACAATGTCATGATGCAGATTTGGCTCTTACAGGTATCAAGGACAGGGATGGTGATATATTCTCAATTTTTCGTGGTGAGCAGATGCATAAAAGAGTGCATGAAGAAAGAACGGGTCTATGGGGCCATTTCATGCAAATTGTCTATCAGGTTTAACCCGTCTCTCATAAATCATCCATTTGTGTTAGGCTTATTCTAATTTTTCTTTTTTGGCTCTATGCAACCTCATGCCAATCCTACAATTTGTAGAAATAATCACATTTTCCTTTATGCACCTTTGAGCAAAGAGGAAACTCTTGTAGTTGCCTTAATTTTTTCTCCACTTCCATTGTATGTTAATATCTCCTGATTATCCTGCTCTAATGTTCTGATTATATAATGGTTGATGTTTAATTCAAGTAAGCCATCCTCATTATTTATGATCATATTTAACTAGTAAAAATTTATGCTTTTGGCAGACGAGTGCAGGAGCTGTGATTTTAACGGATGTTGTCTTTTGGTGCCTTATCGTACCATTCATGTCTAATGTGCACTTCAGGGTGAATTTGGTTTGTATTACTCAACCAAGTCTTCTTTAGCTATGTAAGCAAAGCTATTAGCTTGTCTTTTCTTCCATGGTGGTCTTTTTGTAGAAATCAATTTCATTGATGCATTGACTATAGAAGTTACAAAAGAGGAAGTAATTACAGAAACTGGCATTAATTTGTCTCAGCTGGAAAACTTGAACATAATGTTGGATGCATGGTTGGAGGAGTTATTATTCCCCTATTTCATTTTCAGTCTTCACTGATATTGGGGAAGGACGGTTACAGCTAAAAACACCAAATATCTCATTTTTTTTCCTTCTCCTGTAGCCCTCCAAAACTATCGAAGTGTCCGAAGAGAATGTGATGGATGAAGATCTGTTGTTTCTCTTCACTTGAGCAATGCTCGGGAAGAGCTACAGGAATAAACACTTTAGCATCAATATAATCTAAATCTTATCTCATTGGAATAAACAGTTTAGCTTCAATATAAGCTAAATCTTAACGTGAGCTCATTTAATTATGGAAGTCAAGAATGTGATACTTTTCAGGAACTTTTCTAAAATTTAGTTCTAGTTAAGACTTTTTATAAGCTTTATTTAACATGATAACAATACTCCACAGATAATGGCCTGCTTGCACTCGCTAAATGCCATCTTTCTTCTTGTTGACACTGCGCTCAATAGTCTGGTAAGCCTAGGTACCAATACTTTACTCTGCAATCCATCATATGTTCTATTGTTTTTTCTTTGTTTTTTTCTTTTTTTTTTTTGCTTACTTCACTCATTTCAGCCTTTTCCTTTCTTTGGAATGGCTTACTTTGTTCTCTGGAGCTGTATCTACGTAACTTTCCAGTGGATTCTGCATGCCTGTGGCCTTAAATGGTGAGCAATACTTCTAAAAACATTATAGCTTGCTGGTACATGACCATCTTTTTCCATTCCTTCTATAATCTCTTCCTTAGCCTGTCTGTTAATCTCTTCTGTTTGTGATTACTCTTCAGGTGGCCTTACCCTTTTATGGATCTTTCAACTCCATTGGCACCGCTGTGGTAAGCATCAGATATCTTATGCACGTTCAGGTCTTCATAAAGCGCTCACAGGTTACTTCTAACTGCAGGTATTTGGCCATGGCCTTGATTCACATCCCCTGCTTTGGCATATTTTACCTGATTGCTAAAGCAAAGAACTCATATTTCCCTAAAGTTTTTCCCACATCATACAGACAGCTATTTTAGATGTTTCTTTAGTGAACAGAATGGTAGAATGCCTGCCTTCATTATAGCATAGCCCTTGAAACGTAAAAATCTCTGCTTAAAAGCATGATTACCTTCTTAGAAGACTTGATTTTTAGGAACTGGTGTCAAGCCTCTGGGGCCTTTGGGATTATTTCTTATTTCTTATTTTATTTTAATCATATTTTAATATAAAATAAAAATAAGTTGTGATAGTTGTTTTTAAAAGAGGAAACTTTAAAAAGGAGCTTAGTTGAAGATTAATTAAGAAACAAGTATACCACAACAGCATTAATCATTTATCCTACTGTGGGGTCAGCTAGAACCTTTTTTTTTTATGGGGTCAGCTAGAACCTTTAGTTGACGATTAGTAATCATAAGTATTATTAATTTCCTTCTTTTTTTAGAACTCCTAAGAGTATTTTTGGAACTCTATTATATGTTTTTTTTAAATCAATAAATATCATATGTAGATCCTCCTTATTCTATCTATACTTCTCCATCAAAACTCTCAATAAATGTATAACATCTTAAAACTGAAATTATTGTATAATTGAGTAAAGTTCATTTAAAATTAATTTTAATTCATTTTTCAAATGAACTATATTTTAATTTTATTTAAATTATATTTAATGGCTAAATTCTTTCTGTAGATAATGTTAAAAAACTATTCTCATTTATTGATATTACTGGTCAGTAATAACGAAGAGATTCATGTTTGTATGTCTATGTAGCCATCATTGATGGGAGGGCTGGACATATTGTGATCCTTTAAAGTAATCTAAAATAGATTGTTTTGTCAAATATATTTTTTAGGCCATTATGCTATTTTTATATCTTAAATAATTCTCTTTCTAAATCTAATGGTGATATTGGATTTAATTTTAATTATGTGAGCTTGATGCATAAGAGGCCAAATTATTTAAAAAAAAAAGGAAACAAATAAAAGCGAGCTTTAAGTAAGCATGTATAATTAAAGAAAAAAAAAGAGTAAGCACGTATAATTGGTTTTGGTACAGCTGCTGAATGTTTCTCTTTGCTTTTGAAAATATAAAAATAACTAGATTACAATATTTTTAGTAGGGGTGTTAATTCGGGTCAGCGGGTCGATTTGGGTCGAACCCGGAACTGACTCGGCACTATTCGGTTCAATCCGAACCCGACCCGTTTTTTCCGGACCCGAACCCGACCCGATACGAATGACTCGAAGTTGACTAAAATTGCTAATTTTCGGGTAAAAAATCAGGTCAATATTTAATTTTCGGGTTAAAATCGGGTCAAAATCAGATCAATTTAGGGGTTTCGGGTCAAATATGAGTTTTCGTGTCAATTTCGGGTCAATATCAGGTTGCTGGGTCAACCCGAACCCGACCCGATTTTTAAAACGGGTTTATTTGTTCAACCGAACCTGAGCCGTTTCGGGTTCGGATTAACCCGAACCCGGATTTTTTTCGGATCTGGTTCGGGTCGTGTCAAAAATTGACACTCCTAATTTTTGGTATGATCAGCTTTAAATGTATCTGAATTATTTACAAATGAGTTTAATATAAATTTTGCTTTCAAATTTAAACAAAAGTACTAATCTTTTTTATTAGGATATCTGAATAAAAATTTTCCTTTTATATTTGTTTATTTTGACTAAATTTTTTAGCCAAGCAGACTACTCTATAGTTTTCTTTTGATGCTTCAGTAAGTATTAAACGTGAATTTATTATGTACGGAAAAAGTTGCAAGTTTGTCGAATGCGCGTAATAATTATTACTTTGGAACTTATAATGGGTCGCATTTGATTAATATTAATTATTAAAAAATAATAAATCATTATCACATAAGAAAGAGTAATGTTATGAAGGTATTAAATTAACGCCGGCGTTTTAAACTTTGTATCTATCAATTATATGCGTTAAGACGAAGCATTGTTTATCGGACAATTTTGTGCACTAAAGATAATATTTTTTAACCATAAATTGATTACTATTTTAGCATTAAGTGATGCAATTAATGTATAGCAAGCTTTCAAACATAAGACTTTAATATGTTAGCAACTTATAAATTAATAACTGTGTTAAATAATTAGGGATGAAAATGAACACAGTATTCGACAAATAAATGATGGCTCGACGTAATTATAAATCATCTATGAACAATTAAATTAACAAATAAAATAATTTTAAGTAATAAAAATTCTATTTAAAATTTAAATATTTTAAGAAAAATATACGAAACTTAAATAAATATTACATCAATTTTTAAGTTTAATATAATTAAAATTAAATAAAAAACAATCTAAATCTGATTTGATAATTTATGCTTTTTCTTATTTTTTAAATTTAAAAATAATCTTATTTTAAATTTTTATCATATTATGTTTGTTATGAAAAAAAGTTCTACAATACCGGAGGGGATGGGAAAGACGTCAGGAGGCGCGGTTTGAACGGTCAAAAGTAGCGATGATAAAAAGTGCAGGACGGGAAACTGCAGAGTATTCTTTGTTCTTCTTTGACTGCCACAGGGCTGAAGAGAAAAAGAGGGAGGAGAGAGTGAAAGAGGGTGAAAGAGACCGCGTGGGTATGTTTAGATCCATCGGATTCTTTTGGAGAAGCCCTGAAGCAGTGAGGAATTTTGATCTGGACTGGGATAGCGATCTGAATCTCGTTGTAGCATAGAATTTTTGCTGTTCAAGGCGATGCGGAGGCCTGATATTGTAAGGATCTAGTTTTTTCTGCCCTTGCTTCGGCAGTGTTTGTGCTAATCTTATGTAATCACGTGATTTCTGCCATGTCTTCCTGCAAATCGCGCTTCTGTGTACTATTAAGTGTGTGTGATCCGGGATCTATCTCTCTTCTTACCTGGAATGCCTTGGAACCTCTCGCCCTTTCTCTCTACTGTTCAATGTTCTTTCGTTAACATTACCATTTATTTTAACTTCCTTCGGCCGATTTTGAGTTGATGGGCTGTAAGCCATTTATGATGTTGGATGCTTTTTACATTAGATGTGCTTACAAACATAAACATGCGTGGTGCTTTGATTTATGTCCTGGATCCCTTGGTTTTGTCGCAATGTTTTAGTCATGCTCCTTTCTTGGGAAATTGGTATTTGGATCATATCTTGGATGTCTCCTTTTTTGCTATCTCTTATGGATCTGTAATGCTGCAAGTGATCCCTTTCTTATTTGTTGTATTTTTTATGGTTTTGCAGTTATTTTCTCCTAGTTCACATTAGAAAATTTTGAGATGTTTTGGTTTGATTATACAGAATAGGATGTTGCTGGCTATAAATTTTCTCTTGCCTTAGAAGAAATTTTATATTTCTACTGTGTGACAAACGGGAAGGTCCTACTTTATCAAGGTTGTTTAGCTTTAGTAGCTTTTTGTTCTCTAAAGGAAACGCAATAAGGTTAAGGGGCATGTTTTGTGGAGAATTTGCTATGGCAGTCGATTAATGTCGTATTTGTGTGGTTTAATTCAATACTTTCTAATATTTTCCTTTGATTCAGAGTGTTCTTACCTAAGTAGGGATTGTTTTGGCTTATATATTTCTTCTTTTAATTATTGAGTTCCTAAATACTGATAAGTGTTTAGTTATTGCATTGCTTTAACTTCTGAATCTATGATGAGTAGAGGCCGACTCATCGTTGCTTGATCTTATTGTTAAATGTTGCTACCTTTGCTAACATTATAGCAAGGGAGCCCATGCTGAGTTTCTCCAACTTTTGAATCCAATATTGAAGTCATATCTCGTTCCTCAAACACCTAATTACTTGATGGTTGAACAAATATCCATAAACTTCATGCCTTTATTTTTTACCTTATCAATATATGTAATTTTAACTTTTGAACATGTGCACCTCAATATTAATATAGAAGAACCCTTTTTCTTGCACATAGTCATATGTTGTTTATTTTAATTTTTTCTTAAATTTATTAGCTATTATTTACTGTACATTTGTTGTCCGGACAGGCAATTGCATAGGCTTCTAATTCAAAAAAAAAAAAAAGGATAGGTGCAATCCATTGAAGTTTGTTCTTCAGAAGTTTTGCTTTTCATTAAGGATGGCTTCTGTTAGTATGGCGCCGCTGTCAGCTATGAAAAATACCAGCTGTAATGCTTTTGGCATGGACAGATTGCCTGATGAGATAAATGACTTGAAGATAAGGGATGATAAGGTACCAAAAATCTGGATGTTGGAGTTGAATATTTCTCTGGTAATGACTAGATTCTAGCAAGCTCCAAAACTAATATGACCCATAATGCAGGAAGTTGAAGCAACAATCGTTGATGGAAATGGTACTGAAACAGGACATATAATTGTGACAACTATTGGGGGTAGGAATGGCCAACCAAAGCAGGTACTGCTTTTGGGCATTGTTGGTAAAAACCACTCAATTAATTTTTTTCTTAGATAAAATTATCTGACCTTGCTTAGTTGGGATAGGGCTAATGATGATGATGATAATTCTTGTCTACAAGCTTAATTTTGTATGCCATCTTGTTCTTTAACTGATGTACACTTGTTTTGTTCTTCTTTGAAGACTATAAGCTATATGGCTGAGCGTGTCGTCGGAAATGGATCCTTTGGAATTGTTTTTCAGGTTAGTTTACTTGTTTCCCATGCTATAGAGGAAAGTATTTGGTGCTTCTGGAGCACCGTGTAAATAAGGAGTGATAGTAAGGGGGAGAAGAGAGTAAAACAACCCCTTTTGTTCTCTTTTTCTCGCCTCTATCTCTCTTACACAGTGCTTAGCAAGCACAAAAAAAATTTCTTGTCGTTGGACTTAATTTTGTCAGCAATTAATTGGTTTTGTATCATCCTTCCATAGATGGCATATGTTGATGAATATTATGTATTTCACATCTTAATTTTCTTTTCTGCCACTGAGATCTACTTAGTGTTTGTTAACTTCATTGTCATCTTTTGCACAGGCGAAGTGCTTGGAGACTGGTGAAACAGTTGCAATAAAAAAGGTTCTTCAGGACAAAAGGTATAAGAATCGTGAGCTGCAAACCATGCGTCTTCTTGATCATCCAAATGTCGTCTGTCTGAAGCACTGCTTCTTTTCAACCACTGAGAAGGATGAGCTTTATCTTAATTTGGTACTTGAATATGTACCGGAGACTGTTCATCGAGTAATTAAGCACTATAACAAGATGAACCAAAGAATGCCGCTAATATATGTGAAGCTTTATACATACCAGGTAAGAATCCTCTATTATTCTTAATTACCTCGCATTGATTATGTTTGAAACTTTATTTTTTTATTATCGTTTTGAGAAAATGAAAGGAAAATATGGCAAGACCGTCCTAATTTGTGTTTATGTTCCTTTTCAAATTATTCCTAACTATTGCTACAATTTGATACTTTACTGGATTTTTTTTTTGCTGGATCTCGGTTATTGTTGCTGACTGTAAAATAACTATTTTATGAATTAAAGAGAATGAAAATAAATTTCTGCTCAATTTGGATCTTGATTTGGTTCCTAAATAAAATGTTTTAAACCATAAAATGTTTCTTTTCATAAAAGTTTAGCTTATGAATCGTCTATTTTTTATTTGAAATTTTTTCTGGAATCCCTTGATATTATGGATGGGATGCAAAATATACGAGAAGTTAATGCAAGATAAATGTCAGTTCTGTTGGAATGCATAGATCTGGGTTTGCATTAGAGTTACCTTTTGTTTCTACTTGTTTGTGTATATTGATTGCAGCCAAGTTGACGCACGTGCTTTGCACTAAAGTCTTGCTCCACTCCCCATTTAAATTTGACTGCATGGGACCAAGCAGCTACTTAATGTTGGGTGCAATTGTAATGGACCTACCTACTGCTATGTGTCTGTTGGTTGACTGTCCACTTTGATTAATAACATTCCTTTTTTATGTATGAGTGCAATGTCATTTAAATTTAAATTTTGCTATAGAGAGCTTTTTTTCCTACTTTTTCTGACTTGTATAGTTGTATTTCTTCAAAAGTTGTTCGATTGACTGTTTTTGTTTTAATATGAATCTTCCCCTTTTTGTGAAAGGGCTTTCTGTGGACATGCAATTCAATTCAGGATTTTCACAGCTCCTGGCTGCAATTCACACTTTTTATAAATTCTATATTGATATTTTTCAGATCTGTAGAGCACTAGCTTATATCCATGGCAGTATAGGTGTTTGCCATAGAGACATTAAGCCTCAAAATCTTTTGGTACGTTCACTCTTGATCACTTTTAGCTGCTTGTGCATTATTGGATGCATGTTTTGTGGATGATGGAGTTCCTAATTGTTGAAAAGATTATGAATAGGAGTAGATCTTTGGCTTACCTTATATCTCAAACGGAAGATTTGATTTCTATAACAGGTCAATCCACATACACACCAACTAAAGTTATGTGATTTCGGAAGTGCAAAAGTCCTGGTATGCCTGAATGCCTTTGAAATTTTTTCTTATTTGTCGTGAACAACCTTTTTTATATATATTTATTCTTTTGAACCTAACAGGTGAAAGGAGAGCCGAATATATCATATATATGTTCCAGATATTACAGAGCTCCTGAGCTGATTTTTGGTGCAACCGAGTATACCTCAGCAATTGACATCTGGTCTGCTGGCTGCGTTCTTGCTGAGCTTCTATTAGGGCAGGTGCAGTCTTCATCCAATTTGAATAACCAGATTTTACTAATGCAATGCTTAAATATAATTAAGCTGATCTATATATATATTTGCAGCCTCTCTTCCCTGGAGAGAGTGGAGTAGACCAACTAGTTGAAATAATAAAGGTAACCATTAACTTCGCTAAATTCTCTTACACTGCTTAGCGCAACCTGCTTAATCTCTGTGCAATTCTTTATATTATCTTATTTCCAGATTCTAGGCACCCCAACTAGAGAAGAAATCAAATGTATGAATCCAAATTATACTGAATTCAAGTTTCCTCAGATCAAAGCTCATCCGTGGCATAAAGTACGAGAGCTTTTGCTATCCTTTATTATCCCTAAAACTTAGGTCTTTTTTATCTAATAAACTATTATGAATTCTTATTATGGTGACAATTTTTATGATTTAGATTTTCTACAAAAGAATGCCACCTGAAGCTGTAGATCTTGTTTCTAGGCTTCTCCAGTACTCCCCTAACCTTCGCTGCACAGCGGTGAGTTCTTCATTTTAATTATTACAAACCTTTCAATCATTGGTTACTGAGGTTTTTCACTGCTGCAGTTTGAAGCATTAATCCACCCTTTCTTTGATGAGCTTCGAGATCCAAACACCCGCTTACCAAATGGAAGGTTCCTTCCACCGCTCTTTAATTTCAAGCCTCATGAATTGAAGGGAGTTCCCGTGGAGATGCTACTGAAACTCATTCCGGAGCACGCCAGAAAGCAGTGTCCTTTCCTAGGTCTGTAATGTGTTGTTGGGAAGATTATCAACAATCCTGAATCGGATATTTCAGAAGGAACGATAAGTCTGCGGCATTAGCTGGCCCCAAGTGAACTTTTCTCTTGATTTTTTTGTTTGATTTGGAGTTTTCCATAGCCCTCGGTGCCTGTTATTGTAAAGCAGATTTAGGTCTGCTAAGCTTTAAAATCTGACTGGCTTTGCTAACCCCTTTGCTTCTCTCTATCTATTATGCAAGAAATTTGTAAAATTGATGGGGAAGAGAGATTCTTTTTTATTAAGTTTATTAATTGTTTGAAATCTTTGGTATGTCTGTTGTTGCAAGCTTATTAATGACTCGAGTCAATGGGTGATTAAGAATAGGTGGCGATGCTCTCCTAGGTGTAATGTGGAATTAACGATAAAAATTAGATAATGACAATTGTATACATAATTTTTTTAAAAATAGCATAAATTCTCACTCAAACATCATGCGCGCACACATTATATATATGTTCTAAAGCGGCATATATATTTTATATTGCCTATAAGTATTAACAGGCATATAATTTTCAGTTTATCAACTTCTTTTATTAATTTGAAATAATTAATAGATTTAGATACAAGGGCAATAAAAAGTTTAGAAGTTTTACAAAGTCTTGTGAAATAATTCACATTATAAGAAATATAATATGCATATTTATTAAGTTCATGATAAAATAAAAATGTATTTTTGTTAATTGAATTATGATATAGCTAATCATACGGTAGGACCACCAAATTGTACAAGAAGATCTACTATTTTATAAAACCTTGTCGTTACCTAAATTCGGTAAATTTGAATTTGAAATTTGAATTAATGGTGTTGTACGACTTAGTTTATATTATTGTACGAAAATTAATTAAAATTTCCAAATTTAATCTTATAGATTAAAGAATCAAATCAAGATCTAATCATCAATAATGATTGTATTTTATTATACAAATATCATATAGTTCGATTCACCTGAGAACTCGCTGGACGAGCCTTGGTATATTTAGGACAATCTGTGATTCGATATAACTAATCTTAATGGACGATTGTTCATCATACAAGATGATCTTCGACTTAGTTGAATTAATCATATTATATAATCTATGAATCATATTGTATAATTAGAGTACTTAATTTGAAAATTAGGATTTTTTAAGAGTCCACTTTCTAAATCTAAAATATCTCAGCTAATTTTAGAAGTCTTATGTGAAAATCCTTATGAACATGAGATAATATTTCTTCTTTAAATAAAAAATCATATTCATAGCTTTTGTCACTTTTATTATTGAACTCTTGCTTGATCCTATTAAGTCAATTACAAAGTGGCTAACATCAAAATCATTCATTAATATTAGATATTCTCATGAACCGGACACCATTTATAAAATATTTATTAAAAATTTTAGTACAATCATTGCTCCAACCATGTTAGTTTTTATTTAGGACCATTTGATTGATACCTAAAGGCAATAAACATACAAAAATAAAATAATTTGCATATATCTAATCCTAAAACTATTATAATTTCGCATTATTTAAAAAAAAAAAACTGAATTCAGATGTTTCTCCAAAGTAATAATGTAATTTAGTTAAAATAAATTCATAATTTAACTTTTAATTAAATAATTCATATTGTAATTTTAAATTTAAAATTAAATTTAGATTAAATACAAACATATCAATCCTCAATTAATAGCTCCTTCTAAGAAAAGAGATGAAAAAACTAATACCCGTCTTTACAATCTAAAACTTAACATAACTTTTTTACTGATTTTTAAAACAATTTTATAGTACAATTTTTTATTAAAAAAATTATACTAAAAATTTACTTTAAAAATTATATTTAAAAAAAAAAAAGAAGCTACTACCCAAATTTTATATCCTGTTGCCAAAAAAAAGTCCTAACAACAAATAGATGTCATGAAACGTTTGGAATACAGAATCACTTAACAATGAAACTTAGCAAAAAAAATTAAAAAAAAAAAAATGAAACTTAGCAGGCGTGCAACGGATAGAAAAAGGAAGCAGCGTTCATATTTACTGAAAGAAAGAACAACAATGAAGGCCAATGTGAGAATAAATCAGTTTTCAAGAAGGTATATATGGAAGAAATCTGTGGTGAAAACAGGCGAAGCAACAAAGGATATGAAGAATATGCTAATACAACGCCTGCAATGGAATCATTTTGATAAAATATTTACTCATTCGTATCACTATTAGCTTCTGAAAATGAAACAACATCCTCTGCAGGAGGAACATCATCCAAGTGAAGACCATCTGCAGGCAAGTCTGAAGAGAGGGATCCGAGGATGCCATCAGAACTCAGACTCAATCCACTCTGCAAGAAAGAAGACCAATTCATCAAATCTATTATATTAAGGTTCACAAAATAATGCTATTGTTGAATGTTTGATATGTTGAAACCTAATAACTACTGATTACACATCCTATACTGGAGAATATTTCCATGCATGTCCAAACCCAACCATATGATTTAGACTTTGTTTGGGACGGCTTTCTTTCTGCTTCTTAAAACAGCTTTTAGTACAAAAATAGCTGCTTCTTAAAGCAGAAAGAAAGCCGTCCCAAACGAAAGCTTAATTGGGGTTGTAAGGGGCAGCGCACACTTTTCAGGGACATTGGTAGTAGGCAGGCCCACATGTAAAGAATATTATGTGGATATACTCTATGGAAATGCCATGAGACAAAATATGATATTTTCTATAATTTTGTTGCCTCCCTAGCCTTTCATCACTAAAGAGCGTCATCACTTTCAATTGTAACCCAATCAATGTAATGATATTCTAATGATCGGGGATGTAGAAGGATTAATTTCCTTAGCACATAAAATCTATCTCTTCTGCAATTTCTCATGACTTCCCTTTCATTTTTTATTCTTAATAAGGTATTTTCATGCCACAGGGAAATAATAAGCTTAATTCTCCTGGCACTTCAAGCATATCCAGCATGCAACAACAATGAATCTAGCAAAACAGTTACATGTTTGATTTAATACTTCAATAAAAAAAATATAGAACAAATAAATTGAAATTGAAAAATAAACAGGATAATGTCATATGACATATATCATGGAAATGCTGGACAGAATAAATCACCTGAATAGAGTCCTTATATTCAATGAGAGCTATATCTTAGGAGAGCAGACAAATTCGCTCATGAATGTGTGACCGTTGAACATTGACCAATACATACACCTAAATAAGCAATCCTACCTAAAAATTGTGTTCTTCAACAGGTTAAAGACCGATTGTTCTCATTAGTCCTTTTATCACCAAATTATTATTAGCTTTCCGTTATATGCTGTCAATCCCACCCCCTCAAACCAACAATCAGGCATACACGTAAATAACATAAGATATAGCCTCTTGGTCTCTTTCTCAGAAAAAAATAGCTATCAATGATTTCCATTTGATTCTGCAAGTTCTTAAAAACTTGAAGGGGTCTCTAGCATGAAGTTACCCCTTCTCTCAGCCTCTATCCTAAACCCTCAATGTTCATAAGCACGAGAAAAAAAAATTACAGTTCTCCATGAGAAGATGAACTCAGAAGAACAAAAATCACCTGCATGCTAGTTTTATTAAGCCGAGCAGTTCAATATGAACGTGTTAATTCAACTTTGCAACATATACATCACTTAAACAAGTACAATGAATCAACTTCAATCAATTTTTCAATTCAACTAAATACTTGAAATTCGATAAAAAAGAAACTTTGGGCATCCTGTAATTTTGTATGTGTAGTTTCAACTTGATTATATAAAAGAAAATTGCTAATGAGAATAGTGTTCGCATAAATGATACTAACGGGTAAATTCAACATGGAGAAAATGTACACTATCCTCACAAGCTTTATATATATATGTTGAAATCCAGCCGTTCCCTGTGCAAAGGATCCAACGGATACAAAGATCAATCCGTGGGATGGTCTCATGAATCACGCCATAATGGAGGAACAAATTTAAGAAAGATTTTTATGTATTAAATATGTAATTTATTATTTCCGCATTAAGATATTTTGTATAGATCTATAAATAGGGAAGATTGTGATGAATAAAGACAAGCTGTTTCCCTCTCGTACCTCTCAAATTAACATGGTAACAGAGCCAACGAAGTAAAGAGGAAGAAGCCGGAAAAAGGTCGAGCTCAGGAAGAAACCGAAGGAAGAGGTCGATTGCCGACCACAAGTGACGAAGCCCATGCAGACAGAGTTCTCCTCGCGGACGGGGCTAGCGAAGCGGAACTCCTCGCCAACGGACGGAGCTTGTGAAGCTGTAGAGAACCCGTCCGATCCTCTACGGGGAAGGGAGCCCTAGTCGATTGATGGTATCCCGATCCAAATAGAGTAACTTCTGAACCAACAGGAAGGAAAGTCATCGAAGGAACACAGTCGAACAACCACGAAGGAGCTTCCGATCCGACGGAAGGGCAAGTCGTCGAAAGAGCGCGGTCGAATAACCATGAACAAAGCCGAACAACAATGACAGAAAAAAGTAAGGCTGGCGTGCCCAACTATCCGATCCAAGCCTTCTAAAGACTCGGCTCGGGTAAACAGTAAGATTAAAAAAAAAACTCTTATTTCGACCTTTATTGTCGAACAAGGGAAATTTTTTGGGAAGCCTTCATTGCTATCCACAGACATACAGATAGTCTTAATCACTATCATAATGTCAGAAATCAATTCCTCCTAGAGTATTGACCAAACTGAGGAGTCGATGGTGCACTAAAGACGAGGTGACCTTCAAAACATGCAACATTCCTATCGTCTCAATGGGAAGAACTACCTAAAGTGGTCTCAATTTGTGAAGACCTATTTAAAGGGGAAATGAAAGATTCACCATCTTCTTGGAGGACTAAAACAAGGAGATCCTATTTTTGGGGCATAGGATGAAGCAGATTCCATGATTATGTCATGGTTGTGAAATTCCATGACTCCAGAAATTAGTGATACATTTATATTCCTTTCGACTGCAAAGGACATATGGGATGCTGTCAGACAAACCTTCTCCAAAGCTCGTGATGCGGCTCAAATCTTTGAAATTAAAGTCAAAGTTGTAAGCACAAAGCAAGGGAGTAAGACCGTGACAGAGTATGCCACCATTCTACAAAATTTGTGGCAGGAACTTGATCACTATAAGTGCATAGAAACCAGATATCCGGAAGATGCTGCGATCCTAAAGAACTTTATTGAAAAAGATAAAGTTTATGATTTTCTTGCAGGACAAAATGCAGAATTTGACCAAGTTAGAGTTCAGATTCTCGGCAAAGAGAAAACGTCATCGCTCAATGAAATCATTTCTCTCATCAACGCAGAAAGCCGACGAGGAGTAATGTTAGAACCAAAGGTCGTTGAAAGCTCAGCAATGGTGATGAACAAATAATCGTCATGGAAGGAGAAAGATAAAAATTCTTCAAAATTCAAAGATAAGGACTCACTTTGATGCAGCTATTGCAAAAAGTCAAGACATACAAAGGAAATATGCTAGAAAATACATGAAAACCCCCCAGTAAGGAGTGGAATCAAAAGGGTGAAACAAGGAGCACATCACATGCCAACAACACTACAAGTAAGCCAGAAGCACAGTCCTGCCTTGGAGAATTCAATAAAGAAGATATTGATAAATTGAAACGACTCCTTGTATTTCTTGAAAAACCAAATGCTTCTTCTTCACATGCACTCTCAGGTAAGACTCCAATTTCTATTAGTTTAAGTGCTTCCAGAAATTATTTAAAGAAATTATGGATCATTAATTCAGGAGCCACGGATCATATGACCCACTCACCCACCCACCTCATAAACTATACTCCTTGCCCAAACAACAAGAAAATCATCACTGCTGATGGTTCTCTTACCGCGGTAGCTGGCCAAAAATACATCATATTATCTCCATCCCTCACCCTGAAAAATGTGCTCCACATACCACAATAATCCACAAATCTGATATCAATACCAATGACCATAATTGTCAAGCCTTGTTTAACCCTACTTATTGCTTATTTCAGGACCAAAGATCGGGGAAGAAGATTGGACTTGTTAAGGAGAGAACAGGATTGTACTACCTGGAAGAACCAAACCAATCTAAAAAGAGTTGCTCTTTGTTATCCCTATTCAATAGGAATTCCGCTATTTGGCTTCATCATTATAGACTAGGACACCCATCTTTTGATGTCCTAAAACATATGTATCAATAGCTTTTCCATAAATTAGACAATAAAATTTTTTATTGTGAAACCTGTGAGTTGGCTAGACATAAAAGAACCTCATTCCCAAACAAAAGTGAGAGATGTGCTACTCATTTCTACCTTATTCATATTGATATATAGGGACCCACTAAAATCCCCAATATCTCTGGGGCACGCTGGTTTGTGTCATTCATTGATTATTGCACTAGAGGCTCTTGGATCTATTTCCTTAAAAATAAATCTGATGTTAGCACCATTGCTCTCATCTTTCATTTCATGATCAAAAATCAATTCGGGGTAAAAATAAGAAGATTCTGCTCCGATAATGCCAAAGACCAAACTCTTTCCTCCTACTTCCAGAGTGAAGGGATCATCCATGAGTCCTATGTTCACACCCCACAACAAAATGGGGTTGCAGAGAGGAAAAACGGTCACCTTCTAGCCTCCACCCGAGCTTTCCTATTTCACTATAATACACCCAATTCCTATTGCGGGAAGCTCTTATAACGGCAGCTTATCTCATAAACCGACTATCTTCAACAGCCTTAGGACTCAAAACTCTAATGGAGACTTTGTCCTTTTTTTACCCTGAGTTTCGAACCCATCATAATCTTACGCCCAAAATCTTTGGATGCACTGCCTATGTTCATATTCACAGCCAGGGGAAAGGAAAATTAGATCCAAGAGAACTCAAATGCATCTTTGTTGGCTATTCAGCTACTCAAAAAGGTTATAAGTGTTATCATCCACCCACAAGAAAAATTCTTGTCTCTATTGATGTTACCTTTGATGAGCAAAATTTCTATTTTTCAAAATCTCATCTTCAAGGGGAGACTGAACTTAAGGAAGATGAGGAAAATAAACTAGCACCTCTTGACCTTCCTCCACCACCTCAAACCAAACCCAAGATAGGGAAACAAATGACAAAGCTATCATTAAGTTTGGAAAGGTTACTCCAGACGTACAACTCAAGTTGTGCTCCAAATCAGATCCAAGAATCTGAACCATCTCCTAGAAATAAAGTAAGCTCACCACCTCCCTTATACCCTATAAACAGCTCTATATCTTTCAACAATTTCACATCATCACACAAAAATTTTCTGGTTTAATTAGAAGATATCCATATTCCTAAAGATATTTCTGAAGCCTTATCTGATAAGAATTGGAAAAATGCCATGAAGGATGAAATGTAGGCCCTAGAAAAGAACAAAACATGGGAGATCGTCAATCTACCGATAGGGAAAAAAACGGTCGGCTGCAAATGGGTGTTCTCAGTAAAATACAAAGTTGATGGCACACTAGAGAGATATAAGGCAAGTCTGGTGGCAAAAGGGTTCACTCAAACATATGGCATTGACTACTAAGAAACGTTTGCGCCTGTAGCCAAGATGAATATTGTCATAATACTACTCTCACTAGCAGCCAAGTACAACTGGCATTTGGAACAATTGGATGTGAAAAATGCATTCATGCATGGGGATTTAGAAGAAGATATATTTATGGAAATACCACCAAGGTTTAAAGAAAAATCTGAAGGCAACAGGGTGTGCAGACTAAAAAAGGCTCTATATGGGCTCAAACAATCACCAAGAGCCTGGTTTGGAAGATTCTCTAAATTCATGCTTTTTAATGGGTATTGACAGAGTCAAAGGGATCATACATTATTCTTTAAACACTCAGACTCAAGGGGAGTCACAATATTATTAGTGTATGTTGATGATATTATTTTGACTGGAGATAATAAAGAGGAGAAAGATAGTTTAAGGAAAAGTCTTACTAAGGAATTTGACATCAAAGAACTTAGCAGACATATACTTTCTCGGAATTGAAGTAGCTCACTCCAACAAAGGAATCTTCATTTCACAACAGAAATGCATCAAAGATCTTCTAAAAGAAACAGGTAAACTAGCTTGTAAACTAGCACCGACTCCAGTAGAACCTAATCTTAAACTGGGAGAAGCTAGAGAAGATCCATATGTAGATAAAGGGGCCTGCCAGAGACTTGTAGGAAAATTGATCTACCTCTCCACACTAGACCAGACATAGCATTTGTTGTAAGCATGGTCAGTTAGTTTATGCAGAATCCAAAGCAGATTCACATGCAAGCAGTAGACAGGATATTGCACTACCTTAAAGGAAAACCAGGAAAATGGATTCTCTTTAAGAGAGATCGTGGAATAACCCTAGAAGTATACACGGATGCCGACTACACAGGATCACCGGTTGATAGAAGATTTACCTATGGATATTGCACATTTCTTGGAGGTAACTTAGTTACATGGAGAAGCAAGAAACAGAATGTGGTGGCAAGATCTAGTGCAGAAGGCAGAAGCAGAATATAGAGCTATGGCCTTGGGAATATGTGAGCTACTATGGATCAAAATAATCCTAGAAGACTTAAAGGTCAAGTGGGATGAGCCCATGAAGCTACATTGTGATAACAGATAAGCAATCAGCATAGCCCACAATCCAGTCCAGCATGACAGGACCAAGCACATAGAAGTGGACAGACATTTTATTAAAGAAAAACTAGACAGTGGTCTAGTAAGTGTCGACCATGTACCATCAAAGGATCAACTTGCAGATATCCTTACCAAAGGATTGGACGGTTCTGCCTTTCTCAGAATGATTGACAAGCTGGGAATGACAGATCTATCTTTCCCAGTTTGAGGGGGAGTGTTGAAATCCAGCCGTTCCCTGTGCAAAGGATGCAACAGACACAAAGATTAATCTGTGGGATGCTCTCATGGATCACGCCATAATGGAGGAATGAATTTAGGAAAGATTTTTATGTATTAAATATTAAAAATAATTTCAGCAAAAATGTATTCTAGACAAAACTATTTTGCCACATGCCAAAAGAGATATACTTTGTCCTTAACAAGATGATGGGCTTAATTATAACAAAATAATCATCAAATAAGTATAATAACGATCTATAAAGAGAAATTTGAAAAATCAAACAACCACCACCTAATCTACAATAAAATATAAATAAATAGAAGGGACAATTGAGAAAATCATCTAGCACTACATAAAGAACGTCAGTCAATCGCACACAATATTCAATATTTTAATTTCCTGTGTTAATTTATAAAAGTTTTTGAATCATACCATATGCAAGGGCAGATCCAGCTTTTTTTAGGGTGGGCAAAAAAAAAAAATTGTGGGGATGAGCAAAGATGCTTAGGATTGATAAAAATAGGGCAAAAAAAATTTTTGAGGGGAGACAAAATGCTCAAAATACACAAAATATTCCAAAATATCCCCTCTAAATATTTTTTTTTAAAAAAAATTGGCATAAGCCCTTGGTGGATCTGCCCATGACCATATGGTACTAACAATGGAAATGATTAGGGGTTTCAATATTTGACCCGACCCGAACCCGACTCGCAAATTTTGGGTTCGGGTTCAAGATTTCGACCCGTTTGTAAAATCGGGTCGGGTTCGTGTTGACCCGGAAACCCAATAGTAACCCGATTTGACACGTTTGTAAAACAGCCCCTCTCAATCGAGTCCATCTGTCGTGTCGCGTCAGCACTCAAATGGTAGATGCCATATGCCAAGTCGAGTCATTTGTCCAGGTCATTGGCGTTAGTCGCATCGTCCGTGAGCTTCGTCTGCGACTCTGCGTCAACGCCGTCACCCGTCAAATGTGGACTTTCCGCCTGTTCGTCGTTCGCTTCAAGCAGCCTCCGCCACCGCAACTTCTTCCTGACTGACGCCGCAACCAGCCTCTGCCGCCGCAGCCCCTCTCGACTGTCCGCCACCGCCTCTATTGGTCGTCCGCCGCTGCAGTCGTTGCTGTCAGCCCGCCATCCACTTTCCGACTCAGGCCTAAGCTACTAACGCCAATCAGCCGGGTTGGGTCGGGTTGACCCGAAGCGGGTCGGGTTCGGGTTGACCCGAATAATGCCAGGTCAGTTTCGGATTCGACCTGAACTCGACCCGTGACCCGAAATTGACACCCTTAGAAATGATAAAGGAAACTAATTGTATCTATGATTTTGATATTTACAAAACTTTTTTCACAATTTGGCCAAGCAGAGTCATATAGATGCCAATTCTTACCTCAGGTTGGAACCTCAGCATGTCAGCTCGAGCCATTGCCTCTGCTTGTGCTATCCTCTGCCTGAAGGTTTGGGCCATCTCATCAGCCTGCCACAACAAAATAAAATTAAGCAGAGCATCTGACAATAGAAACTTCATAGAGTAGAAAAACGTAAATTTCTTCCAAAAGCAACACCTTCTCAAAAACAAGCTTCGGGTTACGAATCATATCACCAGGTGTTGGTTCAAGCTTCTTTGTCGATAGACTCACTCGCCCTCTTTCACGATCATGGCTCAAAATCATCACCTTTGACAATTAGAAAACTCCACATTTCAAATCTTGCCATAATACAAAATGAAAATAAATATTGGGAAACAGAGCAGAAACCTTAAGGGTGTCACCAGGTTGGAGAACGGTTGAAATGTCAGAAACACGGTCATGACTGATCTGGCTAACATGGAGCAGTCCATTAATTCCACCAATATCAATGAAGGCACCATATGGCTTCAGACTCTGAACAGTTCCCAGGACCACTGATCCAATTCCAAGCTGAGCTTGATTGTCTGCCATTGCCTTCCGATTGCTGAGTACTAGTCTAGACTGCTCCTCATCAAGCTCCACAAATTTCAGAGGGATCTCCTTATCAAGAAGTTCTTCTGCCGTTGATTTCTTAATGTCCATTAAAATAAAGCAACAAAATCAAGCTTTCGCAAAATGATAAATAATGGTTTACCAACACATTCAGTTAGAAGTGATCAAAACCTGTGCTACATATGAAAACTGCTCAAAGGAATAACATACCAAGAACAAGAATTACTGAATTGAAATATTTCAAACAGCACTAGCACAAAAATAGAGATACGTGTAACCAGTGTAGAGAAAAGCAACAAGATAAGGCAAAAAGCTTACCGTTGATATTTGTGAGAATGGCACAAACCCACGAAGGCCTTCTACAATAACCACCACACCTCCTTTATTTCCTCCAACAACCTGCATGCAAGAAAAAAAATTCACTAAAAAAGCAGAGAGTAGATTAGCCCTCCTTCAGGAAAATAGAAATCAAGGATTGATTTCCATGGAATGTGCGTAAAGCCCTTTAATTCTCAGCATAGTCACCACCTGCAGTGCTAATTCCCTTGTGTGAATGTAACCAGATGAATTACAAGAAGTAAAATATTCTAGATTATATCTCATGAATTAAATGGTGCATATCCATTATGCAAAATATTCTAGATTATATCCTATGATGAATACAGTGTGGAAAGCTAGGAATCCCTACCTTACCCTTTACAACAACATCTTCAGCCTGAAGTTGCCTACAACGCTCCCAGGCAAGATCATACTGAATGGACCTCAAGCTCAAGATCAAACTATCATCTGCAGCATTCTCCCCAATAACAACAAACTCTTCAGTTAATCCAGGAAATATGCCAGCCTCAGATACATGCTTAATTCTCAGAATACAAGCTTCTTGGAGGGGTAGGTATGCTGACGATTTAGCTGTAATATCAACAAGTGCTCCGTTGGCTTCAGTCATAAATACTGTTCCTTTAACCTGATAGAATCCATTTGAAATATCAAATGTTTTTTTCTGAAGTGATAAGAAATTCTGTGAAGTATTGCAAACTCTGCTACTAAAATTAAGTAAACAAAACAAATAATTTTGGCAAGCAACTATATAGACAGAGGCTCTAACATTTAAGTATAAATTTCAAAAATGCTAAAGCTTGGGTGGCGTTTAAAATCAAAGAAATTTGCATTCATAACATTTATCATCAAATTTAATCATTTTAGTGCCGTAAGATACATAGGAATATCATATAAAAGAAGAAATAGCATATTTATTATGTACTAAATTACCTCAAGTGCTGGTCAGGAGAAACATTGAAAGTTGCCTCCAATGTGATGTAAAGGTCATCTGTTCAAATCAAAGCAAAGATCAGTTGAATTTAAACCCTTGGATTGGATTTCCTGATTTGCAAAGGTCGAGTGAACTGAGATTGGACAATTTGGGATGAATTCGAGCCCGAATCAGACTCGATCCAAATCGATTTGAGTCCGATCGAGTCAATTTTGTGAATTTGGACTCAAATCGACGCCAACTTGTGTCGAATTTGGTTCGACGAAGCTCGACGAGGCTCAATTGGATTTGATTTGGACCGATTTTGGGTCTATTCAATCAATTTAACCTTAATTTGATTTAATTAAGTTTAATTTTCTTAAATTAAGGATCGATTTGGGTCAATGTTAGTTCAACGATGCTCGATCGAGCCCAGTTGGGCTTCAAACGGCTCGATCGAGGTTGGGTTGATGCGAAAAACACACAAACAAAATTGTGAAGATACCCACACACAAAAATATATAATCCTCGCCATTAAAATGAATTGAAGTATTGAAAAGTCATTTGGAGACAAATGGTCACGTGAGGAAGAAACAAGTTGTTCAAGGAGAGATCACTAAAAACCACCTTTAGCTTGGGTTGACCACAAGTGCATGGAATAAGTTACAAAAGTCATGCAAACATTTCACTATTACATCTTCATGATATTGAAAGGGCCACAAGTCCTTTGATGTAAGTTTCTTGTATTTTTCACTGGGATATCTTTCACATCTAATGCGTATTCAAAATAATCACCCTTATTATAATGTCTAAATAATATATATATATGACATATTTCGTGTTGCTTATTTCAATTTGCTTCCCAACATTCTGTTGAATGCTAAAAAATCTTTATATATAATTGTTGAATTTAAAAAAAAAAAAAACATGACATGGAAGATAAAAAAGATTAATGTGCCTCTCAGGATTGTAGTCATAGACCATCTGAAAAAGGTCTTCTATGTGTGGTTTAAGAGATTGCGTCATTATATGCCAGGTTATATGTAAAAAGATACTAATCCAAAGTTCCAAAATTTTTGCCAACAATACATCTAAATAGGATATAATCCTTATTCCCAACCTCAATTTGTCCATATATTTGCAGTTAAAAAGCAAAAGAAAATTTAAATAATATTCCCATCAAAACATTAATGATTTTCCAAAATAAGAATTGAACCTCACATTGCTATCCAAAATAATAGTAGATGAAAACTTGCATAACCTCACAATTTATTTGAAACATCGTAATTATATGGGATCAATCATTTGTTTTGTTATAGTTAAAAAGTGACATTTTTAGAATCTATCAAGAATCACAAAAAAGTTAGCATGATCGATATTTGTTCTAGGGAGTCCAAAAATAAAATTTATAGACAAATCCTCCAAATTTATACAAAGTACAAATCAGACAATGCCATGTCCAGAAATTTGCTGTATAATTTAGACCATCTTAAAAGTAAAACCTACTCTCAAGTACACTAATGATTTTATCTCTATCAAAGCGTCCAACTATCCAACATTTAACTCAAAAATCAGGAACTATCTCAAAAAAGTAGCAAAAATGCATTCTTGTTAGCTCTTATAGACATAACCATCAATGACCACAAAATTATCAAAATAAGAGAATGGATTATTTCACTATTCATTAAAAAGAATGTGGAAGTTACTAAGCATAAGATAATCTTTCCTAAGTCTAACAAACCTTGGGATGTAAAGTCTAGTAAAGTGATCACTAGTAAAACTTTAGGCAAAGAATCAACAACTTTGTTTTCAACACCAACCTTATAATTTAAGACAAAAAAGTCGCGTAAAAATTCAACCCACTTAGCATTTCTTTATTTAATTTTCTCTGAGAACTAATGAATTTTAAAGCATAATTGATGTAGGACTACATGCATAAATCGAAAACTTGCACAAAATATTTTAAGAACAATTTCAGATTTTCGTTATTCGTGATTAAAACAACAAAGTAAAACTAATAAACGGTCACTTCCGTTTAGGCTAAACTATGCAAGAGGCTAAACGAAATCAAAACACATAGGAAAAATAAAGCATTGCATGCGGAGTAGTTTCCAACTTAACCTTCGTTTAACAACGAGATCCAAAAGCAAAGAAGTAACAATTCCTACGAATACTAGTGGATGTCGATAAGTAGACACAATCTCTTGCTCGAACAATTTCTCACGAAGAAAGTAGAATTTGAAAGTAAATGAGTCAAGGAAGAAAATCACCTTCTCGGAGAAACGTCGTAATTCACCATGTATCTTCCAATAGTACTCCTTCAACAACTACTACGGGAGGACGGAATTTCTAGGGATCCGTCAATGATTTGAATCACGCCGACAAAGGAAATTTGAGAAGATCCACGACGCCTTGGAGTTCCTATCCTAATTTTAGTTTCATGGACTAGCTTCTTTGCCCACATACGTCCTTGATGTGGGAACCCTTGCCTATTTAACACTGCACCCGGGCGCCGCCACAAAAATTTGGAAACTTTCACTCAACAAAATTTTCAAATTTCAAAATTTGAAAATACATGAGGTGGCGGCAAGGGAGCCGGTAATTAACGGAAGTGGAGTGGTGGATATAGGGGAGGCCGGCGGTTAAGGAGATGGCCGACGGAAAGAATGGGAGGGGGCGGGTTTTGGGGAGATTGAGCTTGGGTGGTGAGGTTAGGAGGTGGTGATTGGTGGTGGGGAATGGCCGGCGGTGGACGTTGGGTAGAGGGGAAACAAGGGAGGAGAATAAACCAAGAGCCACCGATGGTGACTGTTGGGTACGACGGGTGGCCTCTCCTAGGCTCCACCAAACTCTCAACTCTCAAGCTCCACACAAAAGCTTCAAGAAGACAAAATGCAGGAAATTTTCTTCAATATCATTCATTAGCTTCAAAAGTACAAGAGGAAGGCTTTAGATAGCCTATTACAATGACATAAAGCAAAATGACTCAAATACCCTCAAGGGGCTACATGACTCAATCCCTCAAGCGAGGGTAAAAAGGGAAAAATGCTGAAATAAAATACATCAATAAAAAAATGACAATACTAAAAATCAAAAGTACATCGGATAAATCGTGGCCGTAGATCTACGACCACGTCGACGGTAGACTTTCCAACTGATGTCCCCATCAATAATAGTTGGTGCTTAAATTAAATTTATTATGAAGTAATGTCTCACTGATTGAATGATGGAATTAAACTCCATATCATAGGTAGAATCATTTTTCTCGGCATTATTAGTTATTCACAAAAGAAAGAAATCGGGTTTTTGTCCCAACTCAAAATACCATATATGGCTATGCTAGATGCATCAGGTGTTACCTCAAACGCTTTAGTGAAATCTGGAAAATGTAAGACAGGAAATGATTTAATCAAAACTTCGCTTTGATTAAATGCATGTTGAGCACTTCTAGTACAAATAAATTTCTCTTTCTTAAGAAAATCAGTGAGTTGAGTTATAATGGTGCTGAAATTTCTAATGAATCTCTAATAAAATGTTACAATATACTTTATGGAAAGAATCTATCAGCTAAGACAAATAAAAAGTTACATTAAATTCAAAAGAAAGTCAAAGAAGTATTAAATTTAATCAAGATGCATGAGATAGTGAAGCTAAAGGGCTAATTATGTGAGGAAGAACAAGAAAAACAGACAAAGTCCAAGAACCAATAAAGATCCCAGTCAGGGAATTTCAACTCTTGAAATGATAGGTAAGCTGCAAGCAAAGGACACCAAAGCTTTGGTGTTAGGACTGGAAAAGGGAACCAAGGCTTCGGTGGTAGAGTCAACAAAAGGCTGCAAGGGGTCATGCAAGAAGCAGTTGAAGAATGAAGGCTAACTGTGCATAACCATTAGGAACCATAGAGAATGGCCAAGGTTAAAAAAAGGTGAGTGTTCCTGCTAATTAAACGTGTTTTCAAGAACGAAAGTATTGCAAATTTTCTAAATTATTCATAATTTTTTTGTATTACACTAATTTAAAATAGCACAATCTAAGCTAAGTCCTATGTTTTATGTAATAAGGCTCCAAGATGAGCCAAAAATGTGTTATTCAATAATCAATATTATCAATTATAAGTGCCATCATATGTTGAAGAGGGTTCTTGGCTAGCAAAAGATAAAAAGCATCCACAGCAAGAAGAAAATAAGGAATTGAGTCAGTTCTTTACTATTAACTCCTTATTACAAAAATATCAATCCTCTAATAGGAGGAATGCACCAAAATATCAAACCAACAACCCACCAATAAATAGGAGTTCTCACACAACTTCAAATGTGATTTGTAGGCATAAATGACTTAAATGGGGCGCTCATGATGTACAAAGTTCTCCAACAAATAGCCTAATTGCCTAATTGACCAAAAAAAGCATGATCATGCCAACCCAGCCAAGGTTTAGCCCATCATGCCAATCCAATTTAGGGTTAGGCCTATCCATGCTAACCTTTTCAACAGTTGTAACCAATTATGCTCCATGGATCTACATAGAACCGCAATGCAAGGCTACATATAAGAAAAAAGCATTGAAATCTACATAATGGATACAAAAAGGCTACAAGCACAAAGAACAATCACATCATTGAGGAATAACACCAAAACATTTCAACCTTATGTATTAGATGGCTAACAACTTGCTTTAATTATTATCATCTTAACATAATTGTGGCCCCACTAGACCTTGATCCCAATTTGCATAAGAGCTTCCTAACCGAATGTATTATTTTTCTTCATATTACATTCAAAGCCCAGTTGAGATAGATAAATATTCAGTAAGGATTGTGGATCACTGCGCATCATCTTCGGCAATAAAGGAAAAAAAAAAAAAACCCTTCCAGATACCCTCTAATGAAGATACTTAAAACTAGGAAAGTATAAAAAAGACTTGCAACCCTAAAGCAAGAAAAGAAATCACACCCAACTAGGTAGACAAATCAAACAATAAAATGCCTGGGACCATTTCCAAGGATCAGATTCAAACAAAAGCAACTTTGAGAACATATTCATAACATGCGCCCAACACAAAACAACGGGAGGCGCAATAAGACGTGGAAGAAAGGGAGAATGACCTTGGAGCCGATTTCAGAATCGAAATCATATTTCTCGATGGCCGCGTGGAAGTCCTCGAGGGTGAAGGCAACGCCTTCCAAGGGCGCAATACGAGCCCTGTCGTAAGCCTCCTCGAACAGCTTCTTAAGAGCCTCCCGCTCCTTTTGCACGGGCGTGAGAGCCAACGGTGCCCCTGTCCTCGCCGCGCAGACAATTTCGCCGCCGCTAGCCAGCGAGCTCCCAACCGCCGGCCACGCTAAAGCCAGCCCAGTGGCAGCGCCCGGCCTGGACAGCGGAGACGATGATAGCGGCGCGCACCTTAGGCCGGAGAACTGACTGGCAAGCGCTGCCATCACTCTCCCTCCAATTCGCTGTACTAAAGCGCGAAAACGTTAAGGATAGAACCAAGAAATATATGGTCGTAAAAGAGAAGTAGACTGAGCTGCAAAGAAATTATTATGATGCCGTATTTAGGATATAAGCTTTTCAATACATAGTATTACTTTGAAATATTCAAAGCAGTCAAGATAAATTTCGAAGTGAAAAAATTCGTAGCCTTTTTAATATTACGGTAATATCACATAGATTGTTATTTATTATTTGAAAATAAAGGAATTTAAGAATTTTACTTTTTTCATATTTGATTAATTATAAAATGAATCAAATTTTTTATTAATATATTCTTTTAAATATTAATTAAAATTATTTATTAATAGTTTTTAAGGGAATTTAGGGCATAAACCCTAATGATAAGAAGCAAGGTTAACTAATGTGGGGATGTTAAGGTAACAAGATCATGACATCAATGTGATCTAAGAAGTCAGCAGGGTTACATGATCACTAAGGTCATATAGGGCACGAGGTCGACTGTATCGAAGGGGTCATCAGTTCAATGGAGTTGAGGGGTCAATAAACCGACAAGATCGTAAGTCTGCTTTTGCCTATACTTGATTACAAGTAAAAGATGAATTTAAAATTTGCCAAATTTACACAAATTTTTAGTTCATCTAAACATTGTGTTTGCATCCATTATAATTATTTTTAAAAAAAAAGATTTATTTTATTTCATATCAAATATGTGAAAAATTAAAATTCATGCATTTCATTTAATATATACTCCTCGTACCTCAAAACAAATGCCCCTTAAAGTGTGGAAAACTTAGCCCTACTTGTGAGTCTTGTATAATTATATATAATTTCACAAGAACCTCACAAGTAGTCGACATATCATAATGAAAACACTCGCCCCAAGTGCAACCCATGTGGAGACTCGCTTGATGGTCAGAAGGAGCAACTTGTTTGAAACACATAGGAAAACTTGGCCAAATGATCAACAACACTACTCGTTTGAGCCTACCAAGAGAAGTTGACCCTTATAAGGGAGCGGTTCAAGTTCATTCGCCAAGAAATCAACTCGTCACCCAGTGCATGAGAAGAAAACCACCATGTTGCTCCTTCGTACGTAGAGTGGGCATCCTGACACATACACACCGAGTTCAACTACAAGAAAGTGTCAACTCACAAAGCCCTCAACTAGTCCTAATATGACCATCTAGCCCAAATCTCTTCTTTTCCATAATTATAACTCACTTTCTCTCTTTTATGATGATCCAAGGCCTTCAACAGAAGCCATCGACAAGCTCAATTAGACATCTAATTGCAGTTCCCCTCATCTCAGCAATCGCTGACAGACTCGTCCAAGTATACTTACCTCAACCTACTCGGCATTATCGAACTCACCCCACAGGTAGATCATCAAGAGCAATTCAGTGCTGCCCTCACATATTGATTGTGTGGTGACACATGTCTAAGATAGTCATTATTTAGAGTCATTTAAGTCAACATTTTTTTTATTATTTTTTTATGTAACTTTTCTTATAGCTCTTGGAACCCGATAAATAAATGATAAAAATGCACATTTGGGAACTTTTGGAGCTTTACATTTGTATATCCATAGATCTTCTGAGATCATTTGTGTCTTTTACATCTTTTTACTAAATTAGATTTTGAGTCCCTAGAGTATTTCTTTACACTTTTTTTCTAGCAATTTACTTTCCATTCTCACACGGGTTCTAAGGCACCCCTCGCATTGTTTACCTGCTAGTACGGTCAAACGCCATCCACAGACAAATTTGAATACAACAAATCTAATTGTTACAAGATAATCTTTAGGCACAAGCCAACTAATCAACTCTTGTTGAGTGCACTCATTAGAGGTGAAAATGTTATCACAAAATAAGAAAGAAGTGGACTTTAACATGCTATACATTAGTGCATTTACAACTACTTTCTTTTTTAATATAAATAGCAATGTATATATACTACTCATTTAATTAAAAGGCATGATATATGTAATTTTGAACAAATTTTTTAGGCAATTGTTTTTTTTTATATATATATCTCTGTGCAAATATTGACAAAAAAAATTATTCTAGAACATGTTCAGAATTGTATATATTATGTAATTTGAACATTTACATGTGTTATATTAAAATTATTTCATTTTGGAAGCTCCAAAAAGCTCCGTACAACTCTCATGATTCAAATTAAAGGATGAACACAACTTTCTATGTGTTTTAATACAAATCAATTAATTGTATAGGTTGTATATATTTGTATGCAATGCTTCATTTGTGACGACTTTTTTACTGGTTATTAAATCAACTTTTTAGTATAAAAATTTATATAACTAAAAATATTTGTACTAGACAACTAATTTAAAAAGCTTAAGAAAGCCACCCCAAACGAAGCCAAATCTCATAACTGGAAGTAAGGGTTATACACAGCTATAAGCATGTATTTTTATTATAAATTATTTCATTTTTATTCATAAATCTATGCATAACCATCATGACTCAAGTAATAATAGTTGTATTTTGTACAAGTGTTTCATTATAAATAAATTCATCATGAAAAGTGACTTGGCAAAATCAAGAGAGGGTGAATTAATTATTTAAAAAATATATTGTAGAATAACACTTGCTACTGAATTAGTTTTGAAATGAACTAATAAAACTTAGAAACTTAAAAGTATTTACTTTTTATTATTTTTTATTATTTTCAAGAACAATGAAAATTACTTAAAACTAATCTTAAAAGAAAGATCAAAGCAAAATATTTTTGTTTGTACAAAAATATTATGAAGAATCCTTTTTGAATTTTTTCTTAATTGCAACCCCAACAATTCTTAAAAACACAGATCTAAGCAATGAAATATGCAAGAATAAAAAGTGCAAAAAAGTAAATAAATATAAACCAGAATTTTAATAGTGGTTCGGTCAACTTGACTTACGTGCACTCCCAAAGATCATCTTTATGGAGAATTTCACTAAAAAAATAAACCTTCTGCACCAAGCAAGGTGGACAATCCCTTTTCCATTACCAGGTGGAGAATGACCTTTACATGCTCTTTCTTCCTCAACATGCCTATACCTCCTCCTACTTCTTAGCAAAGCGAAGATGCCTCCCTCATTCTCCTTCGAACTACAAGAAAATCAGAGTTTATCGGCAGTCATATAACTGTCGGAAGTACCGGCGATTAAATCGATGGTCCAACCGCTTGTGTGAACCGGCGGTTTATCCAGCGATTTTTAATAATACACCGCCAAAATTAGCGGCGGTATAATAACCCCCGGCTAGGGTTCTGGTTTTTTGTTTTCCGGTGGCTAGGCCGCCGGTGTTAAGTGATTTTTTTCGATGGTCTAAATCGTTGGAAAACAACCGTAAATGGCCCTAATATTGGCCAAACTGAGCCTTCCTCTTCATTTCTTCGCGTATTTGTTTATGCAGACGCTCGCTCGCGATCGCGCCTCCGAATGCCTATGCAGGAATCCGACCGCCGACACCCTATATCTGGCCGAGGATCTCGCCCTCACTCTGGCCGCTGATTATGCCCGCATTCTACCCGCAAAAGTCGTCGATCGACAACACCCCGAACCGAATTTAAGGTTTGCATTTTTTTTTCTTTTACTAATGTATCATACCTTAAAAACTATGTGATAAGTTATGGAGCATAGATTGTTGGATTACATCAGGATATGTATGCAAGAGTTAATACTTGTTGACTGGCTTTAAGTCCATATCTTTTTGCTTTAGTCATGGATGTTCTCACTATAAATTTGCAATAGGTTGTACCTTAGTGTATGCTTTTTTCATGTCATTATGGATATGTATGCAATAGTTATTACTTGTTAGATTACGTCAATGATCGGCTTTAAGTCCATATCTTTTTGCTTTAGTCATTGATGTTCTCACTACAAATTTGCAATAGGTTGTACCTTGATGTATGCTTTTTTCATGTCATTAAGGATATGTATGTAAGAGTGATTACTTGTTGGATTACGTCAAAGATTGGCTTTAAGTCCATATCTTTTTTGCTTTAGTCATGGATGTTCTCACTACAAAATTGCAATATGTTGTACCTTGGTGTATGTTTTTTTCATGTCATTAAAGATATGTATGTAAGAGTATGATACATTAATTTAATTCCTCTATAATTCACACATTAATCTTGTTCATCACTTTTATTCTTAAAAATAGGAATTAACACACACATTCTCCACTCATTTGACATCTTTTTAGTCTTCAAAACAGTATTAAAAATTTTAATTAATGAAGAATTTTCTTTATCTCCTAAGCATTTCCATGCTTCTATTGGAATATCATCAGGTCCAACAGCTTTCCCACACTTCATTTTTTACAAAACCTCTGTAAATTCGGTTTTATTAATACACTGATAAAACACAGAAATATTTATTATTATTTAGGGTGCTAAGGTCACTAATGTTCATCGTATTTTCGCAATATTCATTAAAAAGTTCAGCAAAATATCTCATATACCTTTGTTAAATATCATCTTCTAAGAAAAATACTTTTTCATATTTACCCTTAATACAATTCACTTTAACTAAATCCATACTACTCCCATCTCTTTGTTTGACTAACTTATATATATCATATTTAGTATCTAATATATTATATAAATCATTAAAAGCTAAATTCAGAAACTTATAAACTTATTTGAAATCTTATTAGAACTTGTGGTGAGTGGTGACCATCTCTCGTGTTCTACATCCATACTTCTACCAAAATAACTTTAATAACTTATTTTCATAAAAATATTATTCCTTTTAACTAATATAAACCATTAAATAATCATTCTAACAATATGCCCTTAATATTTAAACATTAAAAATAATTATTCTTAGATGTCATATTCCTATTCAACTCATTCGTTAAAAATAATCTTCTTACCCTAATATAAAAGAAATCTCACAATTAAAAAGTAAGAAATCTAAATAATAATAATAATAATAATAATAATAATAATAAAAAGAAATCTGACATTAATATAAGTTATAAATATATAAAAAAAAATTATAAAATGAGCTAAAAATAATACTACTTAATTTTTTTTTTTTTTTGGGGACGTTATGGATCAAACAGGAGCCAGATGGGAGGTAGGGGTGTAAACGAGTCGAGTCGAGTCGAGTTTTAGCATTATCGAGCTCAGCTCGTTACTTGGAAAACGAGCTCGAACTCGAGCTCGAGCTCGAGTCGAACTAGACTCTCATGGCGGCCTCCAATGCGAGACTTCTCCGTCGCATATTAAAAGGTTTCACTGGGCCTGCCAGGTTCTATCGAAATTACTACCTTTGCCGCCCGCCTGAACGCCGACCATTTAAGGTCTTCCGGCCCGTTGGAGATCGCACTTCGTGCTCGTGCGAATTCTCTCCAAACGGAAGCCTCTTCTCGGTCATCCCCTCCGCCGTCGTAGGCTTCCGATGGTTTTCGACTTTGTCAGAGCCTCTCACAGGAGAAGACTCTTTCGAGAGGATTTACGTTCTGGATGCCAAAGTGGACGCACCGGTCGCCGATGCCTCTGCGGCGGATGTGGATGGAGACTGCGATGTACCTTTGTCGAAGGCGAAGGCGCCGGTGGTCAGGGAATTAATAGAGTCAGAGAGAGAAGCGTGGAGCTTGTTGAAAAGGGCGGTGGTAAACTACAGCGGTAGCCCGGTTGGGACGGTGGCTGCCAACGATCCCACGGAGGTGGCGCTCAATTACGATCAGGTTTTCATTCGCGATTTTGTTCCGTCTGCGATTGCCTTCCTTTTCAAGGGAGATTCTGAGATTGTCCGGAATTTTCTTCTTCACACGCTGCAGCTTCAGGTGAATTTCCCATCTACTTTTTAAATTTCTTCTTGGTTAAATTGGTGATATGTTGTAGCCTCTTGAAGTTTGTTGGACTTAATGCCAGCGAAACACCGCAATACTTAAACTTCCATATTGTAATTTATATGTAATAAGTTTCTAATGCAGAACTGCTAGTTCTGCTTGATGGCTAAAGGGATATTGAAGAATATAAATAAGAAATGAACTTGGCAATAACTTGCTGCAGTGCATTCATTTCTCTATTTTTTTACCTTGTTACATGGTATATATATGGAAAAATAGAAAAGATGCGTGCGCAGTGCTTATTAAAAGTAATTATGCGGTTTTGCTTGGACGGTTTTGATTGGAGCAGTATGTTTGAATCTTGTATCTGTAGAAGATTCGCAGTGAGAGTGGCTACTCCATATGGCTGCTGATGGCAGGGGTGAGGTTGAGTGTTTACCTCCCCCAATGCGATGGGCCATGGTAGAAGTGTCAACTTGTCATGAATCACGAGAAAATTCGCAGCAGGAAAAGCCTTCGTTAAGATGTTTGCTGGTTGGTCATGAGAGAGTATGATGTATATGATAAACTTGAATTTCATTGGATTTCATATCTTCTCGAATGAAATGTTGATTTTTATGTGTATTGCGTTTGTGAAATATGGGGTTGTTAGTTATTGCCACTGCGGAAATATTATCGAAATTGAGGGGTGTGGATTGGGTAATTGGTATTTGATATTCCTTCAAGAATTTGCGAAGCCATATGATATCAGTAGTTACAAAGGTTAGGGCTATTTATTCATCTTTGCTAAAAGATTTCACCATTATAGGTTGTTTCTTGTCATGATATGAAAATAGAGTCTTGCCGAGGTATGAACTATGGCCTATGATGGATTGCCGCTTGTTGGAGTCACTCACCCAATCAGAGTTTGAATAGGTGTGTAAAGTAAGATTACCAAGTTGAATTGATAGATGAAGATGAATTGTGGTTTTGATATATTAGAGTAGGCATTTTAGTAGCTAGAAGTGGCCAATTAGTAGATGCATGTTTTGGCATAGTTCATTGATGGCAAAGGCTATGTTTGGATTTGTGATGGCAAGGTACTGTATTGAGCCAATGAGATTGTGGTATAGAGTTGGATTCTCAAATGATTTAGTGAGATTGTTATGTGGCTGCTATTTGGAGGGGGGACGATTGGTTGTCGCTTTTCATTCCGTCATTCCAATCTTTTAAAGAATGTCAAAAGAATATTTATCCTATGTAAGATGGAAATTGTGAGGGGTTCTTAACATGTGAATGCCTAGGATTTACAATATTGAACCAAATAATTTCTTGTTGAATGTTTGTTGTAGACCATGGAGTTGAGAAAGAGTTGGTTGGTGATTGTCAATAACGAGTATGCCATTGATGTAAATTAAGATGTAGATGTAAATGTTGTTCGCATGATAATGCAGTACAGAGGGGTTCAGCTTGGCTGAATTGTATCAGGAGTCTGGAGGGCTATTAACCATTGACAAGAGGCTTGCTTTAGGTCGTAGATGGCTAACACATGTGTTGTGAATTGTGGGCCTTGATAACCCAGTGGTTGGCTCATATGTTATCTCATCCAATTTGCTGTTAAGGTAGGCATTGGAGATGCCTAATTGTAGAACTTCCTAGTTACGGTGAAGAGAAATTTTTTTGCCTTGCGATAGCATAAAGATAGAATAGGGGAAATTTTTTAGGGGACTTGGATGGTAGATGTAGGCCATTAGTGGCCGAACTACGATATATTGGTTTGCCTATTCATTACCTTTTATAGTTGTATTTTTTAGCATTTTATACTTTTGCAATGTTCTATGACGATATCTGCATTTATTAGAGAGATAACCATACCATAGAGTTTTCTTGGTGAATCTATTGCACTCAAGTGTATTATGATAACCAATTCTATTTTTATGGCTTGCATTAAGCAGTTTGTGTCTTTTATTGAACTGTTTATTACTGTTGAAAGAGTTCCATTTGATTTGATAGTTCAACTTTCAAAACACAGGAATGAGCAAAAACCATTAGAATCACGTTTCAACACCAATTTATGTTTTCTAGCATGTAAATTGTTTTTATTACTTCAAAAAGACTGTTATTATGACAGTGAAATTCCATGTGAAGTGTGTTTCTGCTTAATGCCTATATCACATCCTGTGCTAAAGCTATTCTGATTAAACATGTGATCACTAAAATTGTGATGTGCCCTGCATGGTCAAATGATACTCCTTCCCTTATGATGAAACTTTAGCCTAACTTGTTTATTTTCATTTGTGATCTTATTCCGGCATCACTGGAAGTGTATTTGAAGTTTGAGATGTCCTATAATTCCATTCCATTTTCTGTAGTCTTGTACCTTTCCTAATTCATTGCCTTTGCTACATTCATTGGATAACCAGAGCTGGGAAAAGACTGTGGACTGCTATAGTCCTGGGCAAGGGTTGATGCCAGCTAGTTTTAAGGTTCGGACGGTTCCCTTGGATGGAAGCAATGAAGCATTTGAGGAAATTTTGGACCCTGATTTTGGCGAGTCAGCTATTGGACGTGTAGCTCCCGTTGATTCTGGTGACTTCATATTGAGACATTATATTGTTCTGTGTCATTAGGTTTCTGACTTTATTTTAAGATATAATTGTGGTTTATATTTCTTCCTGCCAGGTTTATGGTGGATAATTTTGCTGAGAGCCTATGGAAAGATCACGGGGGATTATGCTTTGCAGGAGAGAGTGGATGTACAACTTGGAATTAGATTAATATTAAATTTATGTTTGACAGATGGGTTTGACATGTTTCCATCTCTTCTAGTAACAGATGGCTCTTGCATGATAGATCGTCGCATGGGCATCCATGGTCACCCGCTTGAGATCCAAGTATGACATCCAATTTTTGCAAGTTTGAAATTCAAATTTCTCATTGGTTGTCCATGCTAAATCCATTCTGCTTTTTTTTGTTTTTAATCATTTAATTTTTTTTGTTCTTTATGGTGTCCTATGCTAAGTGTTACTGAAGAAGTAACAACGTAGGCATGCTTTATAAATCAGAATCATATATTTTTAGATCTTTTTTAATACAGTAACACCCCCAGAACTGGCATGTAGACATCCGTTCAAGTTATGCTTATGGTATAAACAACCAGAAAACATTGGTTTAATGAACGCAAAAATAATTTCCTTGGCTTTTGCCTTTGCCACTTGTTTCTTATCATGACTTATTTTTGTACGAGATACACGTGCCCATGTAAATTCTTTACTTTACATGACTAATTCCTACTGCATTTAAGTACTATATTGCATGCTATTTTTTATAACTAAGGTTTATCCTAATGGATATGCTTGTTGGAGAGAGTATACGACATAATATTTGAAGCGATTGCAATATATTGGATGCAGTTCTAACGTTATGGACAACGTGAGAATGATCTAATTTTATATTATGAATAATTAAGTATCAATTTTTTAATGTGTACGAAACAAGATTACTGATTTTTGACCATCAACAATTTAGGAAAGCTCAAGGAAAAGATTACGGACTGACTTTGATCAAACGGATGTGAACTCATCTATTCTCCCAATGGTGGCACTTGTGATGACTCACTAGCCTCTTTCATGTCAATAGGCTATAGGAAACACTAGTTTTCGTTCCATCCTCATCCCTGTTTGATAGGTTTTTATCCCTTAGGAGACAATTCTGCGTAATGTGCCACATCTAGCTTTGGTTAGAGGCTTGAGCAACAAGCCTTCACTGGCTGTTTTGTTCAAGTTTGGTGGTGGTTGCGGTGCATGCTTGAAAGTTCAACCTCATCCACATGTTTAGGAAGCAGTGGCTACCAACCATCAGAATAGATAGAAGAAATATGCAATGGACCTGTTAGTAAGATGCTATCTTTGAGCCTATTACTTTACTGGTTAAGCATTTGAAAAATGCAAGTGCACTTTGTAAACACTTGGTTCCTTTCTTCCCTTCTTTATCTAAGCGAAGTCATGATTTCTGGGGGATTAGAAATAGCCTTTTTGCCTCTCTTTTATCTCAGCAAAGTCATGATTACTCTAAGTTCTGTTTTAGCTAAAGATATAGAAAGTAGAATTAAGGTAAATGAGGCAATATAATGATTCATGGACTATATGAAGCGAACTCTGAGCTAGTTGCTGAGTGGCCAAACAGGTAGCTGTCCTGTCAATGGACATCTTCATGACTTTGTTTTGTTGAAAATATTTGAACGTTGGATCTCCGTTTTCTAAATCAACTGCGATGCCAATCTTCATTGCTTCCTATGCAAACGAATAAGTTAATAGAAACTGATCTCCCCTTTATTTATATTTTTCTGTTTTTGTTTTTGTGATAAAGTATTAATGTCTTCTGCATCTTTCTTTTCTTCTGTTATGGTGATATTATTAAAGGTCATTTTTTATTCTATAATCTTTAGGTTTCTTTCTTCTTTTTTTTCCTATTTCTTTTTTCTTTTTTAACTCTTCCCTTCTTCCTACCTCTCCTCATTACCTGTCCTCATTTCCCCTTTGATTTAATGCTGTTGAATTTAGACTTGCATAAATAAGATGAAAGGAGTGAAAGGCTGAGAGAAAGAATATGGGAAAAGCGGAGGGAATAAGGAAAAAAATCAGATTTAGGTTTAGGTTTTGTTTGGGACAACTTTCGTATTGTTTTATAAAGTAGTTTTTTAATATAAAAATTTTTTTAATTAGAAAATTTTGTACTAGAAAACTGCTTTAGGAAAAGTAAGAAAGACTTGTTATCTGAAATAAACAAGTGCTTTCAATCTTTGTTTTAAGCCCTGTTATCTGAATGGCACTTTTCCTAAATATGAACCAAAGCAGTATTTTTTTTCTCAAGGTCTTTTACAGTTTGTTTTTCATTCCTAACATGAACGTATTGATGTTGCAGTTAATATAAAACAAAGCGGTACTTTTTTCTCAAGGTCTTTTACAGTATGTTTTTTCATTCCTAAAATGAACTTATTGGTGTTGCAGTTAATCCTAATCATTTTGTGTAGCACGTATATCAATATGCAAGCACCTTAATATATTTAGCTCAATCTCTATTTTGACTTAGATATTACTCCGTAAATGATGTATTGATTTTGGGTGTTGACAAGTAAAACAAAAAAAGAGAAGAAGCAAAATGATGACGATGAATCTCTTCACAGAATTTTCTCTAATTAAATAAAGCAAGTCATTTAATAATGATGATGATTTCTCCAGCTAGTCCACCATTAAAAAAATTTATATTACAAAAGCTTTGAGTCATTAAGAGAAACATATTCTTGGAGAAATTGAAGAGCAAATTAAAGATTAGTGAGATCAGTGATCAACATATGCTCACTAGTTTTATAAAATTTAGTGATATATCAACATCAATTTACAGCCTGGAGCATTCTAAATGATTGTGTGAATTTTTTTTTTTTCATTTCCTCTAAACAGTTCTACACCATGTGGCAGAATTTGTAATTGCAACAGCTAATTGGAATATATATCATATTAAAATTATTAAAATATATATCATATTAAAATTTATATGTAAAAGAAAAAAAAAATTAAAAATTAAAAAAAAAATGTAAAAGAACTCTTCCTCCTCTACATTATATTTTGTATTCAAGATAAATACCTACAATGATTGAGTTCTCACAAGCTAGACAAAGTGAAGTGGTTTGGTGTTAAAGCGCAATCTCCTTTTATTTCCTTTATCAATCTCCTTTTATTTCCTTCCTGTAATTTTCTATGATTCTGATTATTGTAATGCCTGTTGCTTAACCTATGACACCATAACTATAATGGTTTAATGTGTTTCATTTTTTTTATGTGGTTATGTTTGGATTTGTATCGTCTCTTTCGTATTTGAGATCTTTTGTTATCTATATAACAAGTGCTTTTGCATAGGCTTTATTCTACTCAGCTTTGCGGTGTGCTCGAGAAATGATTTCCATCAATGATGGATCCAAGAATCTTGTGCATGCTATTAATAACAGGCTTAGTGCACTGTCTTTCCATATAAGGGAGTATTATTGGGTTGACATGAAAAAGATAAATGAGATATACCGTTACAAGACGGAGGAATATTCATATGATGCTATTAATAAGTTTAATATCTACCCTGATCAAATTCCTTCTTGGTTGGTTGATTGGATCCCTGAAAGAGGAGGTTACCTCATTGGCAATCTTCAGCCTGCACACATGGATTTCAGGTTTTTCTCCCTTGGAAATCTTTGGGCCATAGTTTCTTCTCTTGCTACCCCAAAACAGGCAGAGGGCATTCTCAATCTATTTGAAGACAAATGGGATGATCTTATGGCAAATATGCCTCTTAAGATATGCTATCCTGCCTTAGAATTTGAGGAATGGCGTATAATAACTGGCAGTGACCCAAAGAACACGTAAGTGTATTTTTAGACCAAATATTTTAGTTTTCACGTCTGATCTTATTTCTTTATGCAGTTATGTGCTACCACCATGTTCTAACATTTTCTAATTATTTTGACCTTAGCTGTAATGAACTGGAGTTCTCTCTATTATTTATCTGCTACCACAATGCTCAAATGATTCCTGATTATTTAGATCTTAGTAGCTGTTACTGTAGTTCTCCATATTAGACATCTGGAAGGAGAACCGTTTTTTAAAAATTCAGTGGATAATATTCTGGGATATGATTAAATTTAGATATGTCTTGTAATAATCTATTGCTGGCATGAAGTTCTGGTTCACGAGCTGTATACTGATTGCTGATTACTTATGTGTTCATGCAGACCTTGGTCATATCATAATGGAGGATCTTGGCCTACACTACTTTGGCAGGTAGTTTTCTTTCTTTGCTCCCAACAACCTAGCCTTTTAAGTAGCCACAATTCAGAATTTCTTTTTGGGCTACTTTTCATGTTCTAATTTATAGTTCCATAATTATTTAGTTATTATAAATTAGTTTATCTTATTTCCTAGAATAAAGGATTTGGGTATTCTATTACCCGATTCTTAGTTATATTGTTTTCTATTTTAGTATAGAAAATTAGGGAATTTGTCTCTTTGATTCATATTAAAGTATGATTTTTCTACTATTTCATATATTTTTTTTTAAATTGTTTCTACGGGTTAAGCGAATAAGATTGATTTTCCTTATAAAATTTTAAATGGTGCACGAAGATAAACCATTTGGTTCAAATTTCTATTTTTATAATTAAATATTGCTTTGATAATAACATATTATCTAAGATGCAATAAATGATAGTCTGTAATGGACTCAAAAACAAAAATATGGTTTCGATAATTTCATTTTTATAATCAACTCTAGAACCTAAAATTAAGCTGAACACTACAGAGTAGTAATTCACATGGTTTTGAAAATTGGAGTGGATTGGCTGGCTCGACCGGTTCAATCATGAACTGATCATATGGTTGGTTCGGTTCTCATGAAAAATCGGCCCAACATCAAACCGGTGAGATTATTTTATTTAGTTATATTTAATTGTTTAAAGATTTTATATTTTATATTTTTAAATATACATCATTAAAATATAATTTTTATCTATTTATTAAATTTAAATAATCTAACCTGAATGATTTATAAATATAAAATTCTAATGTGGATTTAATATATAATTTATGGTTGTAAATTTCATCTAAATATATATAAAAAATAATAATAGTTTATAATAATTTATATTAAATTTAACATAAATTAGTAATAATTTATATTAAATTTATAAGTTTTTCTATAAACTAAATTTTTTTAGTCACAATTTATATCATTATTTAATTATTATATCATTTAATTGTTATTTAAATAATTATAATATTTATTACATCATTCAGTTCAACCTCGGTCAAGCCATTGAACCTTGAACCTCTCATGTTTTCCGATTTGACGTCCGGTCCGATTTTCACAACCATGGTAATTCAAATATAGTTTAATGAAATGTAGTGAGACTTATATCTTTGATTTTATAAAGAGTTTGAGAAAATCTGATTGTACTAGATTTATGATTTTGCATGAAGTGGAATACTGGCTAAACTCATCTAATAGATTTCAAAGCAATGATATTTAGTCTTATGCAAATGCAAGATAGAATAGATAGTTATTTAATTAAGAATTCAGAACCAATGTCTAGAAATCATGAATGGTATTTATTCTTATAATTCTAAATGCAATTAATCATTTTTTTCATTGGTTTGTTTAATACAATATTATGTTGGTCAAATGTAAAATTTGTATGATTTGAATTTTAAAAATGGCTTTAAAATAATTTTTATCTCGAGGAGCGAGCCTCCCCTGACATAGAAGTGCAGCCTCATAGGTCGAGAGGTCCATCTAAATACATAGATAGGGAGGCTTCTAAATAAGGAATAGAGATAACATAATATGAACTTAGTTGGATCTATTTACATTTGTTTAGTCTGTTTATCTTTTTATGTTATTTGAGAAAGTTTATTTGTTTTAGATAAAAGGAATTTTTTTCCTAGTGCCTAATGAAATTTGATTATAGGCAAATCACATGCATATTAGAGGCGTTTGTGGTTGAGATGATTGGAGGCGCCGAATTCGAGTACCCATTATGTGGGGGAAGGAGATTGTTGCTTTGATAAGAGGGCTCGAGGTGGCTAGGTGGTTGTGGGAGCATATTGTAGGTTACAACGATGCCAACATGAGAGAGCGGTGTGGCCTAGTTTGTTGCAAATTTGACAGGTATGATGGGGAGTAGTGGGAACACGTTGTCCGCGACCAACATAGAATTGTGGTCTGAGCGAGGATCCTCTACCACGAAAGGGATGAGACTAGCTGGAGGGTGGGCGACCGCAGTTTGCTGGAGCGGGTGGCTTGCTAGAATACAGAGCTTGATTGTCTTTGGGAGGAACGGATTCTTTAAGCAATTTTGTTTGTAGGTTGATCTCCTTTGCAGTGAGTAAAGCACGTCTAGGTTGATGGGGTGAAGTGATGTTCAAATGGAGATTTGTAGGTAGAGGGTAAGCTATTGATGATATATAAGATTATGTCCACCAGTGCCTTAATTTGTGTGAGTTATTGGGCTGTGGTGTTGTCACCCATTTGAATATGATATAATCAATTTCAGTTGGATCACTCAGGATTTGTTGGTCAGTTGAAGCTGATGCTCAAGAGTGATCCAAATTTCATAGGCTGCGGTAAGATTAAGGATGTAAGGTAGAATGGAGGGAAAGATGGTGGAGAAGAGGGTTGAAACCAAATTCTAGTCGATTAGTTTCCATAGGCGATATTCATTGATCTCTGAGGCATGACTGATGGAAGACGAAGTGGGCTCAAGTGGGCAGCAGAGTTGGCCTGCTAAGTAGACATTAAAGCCATTTGTCAAAAACAGTTTATGCACTTGCAGTCGCCAAATGGGGTAATTGTCATTGGTGAGTTGAGATTGACAATGAGTTTGATGTTGGGCATCAAAAATTTGAGTGGGGAGGGTATGATATATTCAGCCATTGATGCAGAGAGAGGAAGTTGACTGAGTGTTGGAGGACTCTTGATTTGCCATCGGGCTGAGAGGAAGTTGTAAGGCTTTTTGTTCTGATACCATGTTGAATATCGAACAGCAGCCAGAGAAAATAATAGAGAGGAAGAAGTAGATGTAAAAAAACAACTTATGTATTATATGCCATGTATTACAATGCTTGTGTGTGTATATATAGAGTGTTAAAGGACAGGTTTTTTAAGCAGCTTGTGCTGCCGTTAGGGGCCAGAGCAAAGTGACCCTGCACATGTTGTGGTAACCGAATGCAGTAGTGGTGGAGAGCGGCTGTCCTTTGTAATGCAACCTAATTCTTATGTATGCTAACAGAAAGAACCCTATCCCCGCTGACAAAACAAAAAAAAAAGTGAAAATGAACAGGCATTTAATCAAGGTGTAATTGATATTTACAACCTAGTTTGCGGAGTGCAGAATTCCATAATTATTTGGTTACCATAAATCTGTTTATTTTGTTTCCGAGAATAAATGTTGTGTAATGTTACCTGATTCCTAGTTATTTTGTTTTTCTTGATTTAGCATAGATATTTAGGGAATTAGTTTCGTTGATTCAAGGAGTGAGATTGTTCCCCTCTTCGATTTATGTTGTACGGTTTCTATCATTGGGGATTTGGGGTTAAACGAATAAGATTGTTTTTTCTCTCAAAATTCTACACAATCTAATATTTTTCTATTGTTTGGCTTTTCAGTTTACATTGGCTTGCATTAAAATTGGGAGACCAGAGTTAGCTGAGAGGGCTGTGACGCTTGCTGAAAAAAGGATATCAAATGATAAATGGCCAGAATACTACGATACCCGCACTGGTAGATTTATCGGTAAACAAGCAAGGCTGTATCAGACATGGACTATAGCTGGATACCTTACGTCGAAGATGCTTTTGGATAACCCCAACATGGCAGCTATCTTGACCTGTGATGAGGATCTGGAGCTTCTAGAATTCTGTATCTGTGGGCGCAGAAAAAGTTCTCGAACGAAATGCTCACGGCTTGCTGCAAGATCTCAGGTCCTTGTATAATCAGTCTCCCCTCCCTATGAAATTTCATAAAAAGCTCTCATTAAGGCTTACGGCTTTATTTTTGCTTCTTAAAGCAGCTTTCTAGTACTATTTTTTTTTTATATTAAAAAGCTGTTTTAAAAAGCAGAAAGAAAGCCGTCCCAAAGCCTAAGATTCTAGCCGTACATATCACATGTCTGGAAAGATTGCAATCTTCTTTTCTTCATGTATAGAATAGTCAGCTTTTGTATCTAAGCTACTGGTTTTTGTCCCAACACCAATTCTTTTAACACAGATGTAACTTTCAAATTTTTATATGCGTACACAGTACGTATATCTTAGTGCATTATACAATTATCAACTTATCTATATTTTTTGAAGCACCTGCCTTCTATTGTACAAGTAAGTTGGAACAAACACACTAGCAGTTTTGCATGACTTAACGAAGATGCTTTGCCTCTAAGGCCTAATGAAACATTCTGCTATCTTCCAAGTCTCTTCTGCATAGCAGGTGATGCCTGTCCTTTCGTTGTAGTGATTTTCTGCTGTGGATATCTGGTTTTTGCTACTTCTTCCTCTCTTCTTTGTGCAACTCCAAGCAGAACTTAAATTGCTTTCACCTGATACTTCTAATGCTTCAGTCATTTTATCCTGTCCTCTTCTTATAAAAGCTTGGAGGAATAGGAGAAGTGAAGCCATATCTGATGAACTGACTATGCAGAAGCAAGCTTCTCTTCCTCTTTATAATCACAAAAAATTCTTTCTATACTCATTACAGGTAAAGAGTGAGGTTAGTTGGCTTATATTTGCAGCATAAGTTTTGGTGCATCAAGCAAATTGTCTAACGCTCATGAAAAAATCATGATTTTTGCATTCTTCAAGTATGAAAAAATGTTTTTTTTATATCTAACGAATATAAATATTGGTAGATCTGGTCAATAGTTGTTTACCCACCTTGACAACATGTTCATATTGTGGTGAAGTAAGCTGCACATCACAAATTAATTGTTCCCTTTGATTACGAGTGTTCAATGATGGTTTAGTAAAAGTTTGTTTCTAATGGTTAAAATTATTTTTTGATATGATGGAAATATGTAAACTTTTATTCTTCCCATGTTTGAGAATTAATCTTTCCTGTATTGGAAACTTTTTTTTTTCTACAACACGAGGACTTCCTAGGAGGTCACCCATCCTAGTACTACTCTCGCCCAAGCACGCTTAACTGCGGAGTTTTGATGGGATCTGGTGCACTGGTGCTGGTATGGTCGCACCCACCTGTATTGGAAACTTGTGTGTAAATAACAAACTTGCAAAGAGGCCACATACATATATATGATTAGATGATAATAACTTTCCACAGCATCTAAGCAGTACAAAGGAGTGAACTGTGTATATTCTTACAATTTTTCTCTATCTAGTTAGGATCTTTACGTCACACTAAGGAGAAATTATTACGTCCGGTCAAATCCGAACGTATCTGAATGTATACCGAGCAATACCGAGTGCTCAATATCGAGTTTCAAATGATGTGGCGCGTGATTATTGATCTATGAACGCGTTTGGTGACCAGACGTAATAATTGCTCCACACTAAGGGGCTATTTAATTGAGTTTTCGGCAGAAAATTTTTAAAATGCTGGACTTTTTATTCGAGATAAAATTTTGTCAAATTTGAAAGTCACATCTTCGGTCAATTCTTATGTATTTTAAAATTGGCTGATTTTGATCTTTTTCTAAATACACTAGCTTTGATCTCTTTTATCTCTGATTATTATTGATCACTATTGGTGATTGCTGCCAGTTGCCATTCATAATTGAGATTTACAGTATATTTATTTTACTTTAAATTAAATATAAGAAATTAATCTTATGTATTGATTTTATGCACAAGAAAATAATTTTAATACATTATATTTATGTTGAATTATGTTCTTTGATATTGTATCAAGAGAATCTTTATGGTGAAGGCAACAACTTGATTGGTGTCCTCTTATGGTGGTGATGAAATGGTTATTTGGGTGGTGATGAAGCTAGAATTCAAGTTTTTGTATAGATTTGAATATGAAACTTTTAAGCTCTAAAAAGATGAGGATTCCTTGTAGAAAAATAATGAGAAATTTTAGATCAATGGTTTGAGATGTTAGAGAATTAATGATAGTATTTTTATGAATTTTGGATCAAGAGTTGAGAAGTTATGAAATTGTTAATCAAGTTGTTCAAAGTAGGAAATTTCACATAAATATTGGAACTTTAGCTATGGTATATTTGAAGGAGTTGAAGCCTTGAAAGGTTATGAGAGATATGTGGAGCTAATTAGGTGAGTTTTGATGGGGGTTACAGGATGCTAAGCATGAGGCTAAGTAGTTGAGGCCTTGGAAGGTTATGAGAGATTTGTTGAGCTATTTAGGAGAGTTTGGATGGGGGTTCTGAGATGCTAAGCATGAGGCTAAATAAAGGAGATAAAATTATGTCGGGAAAGAAGAGGAAAATATGTAAGAAGAGATAACTAATAACTCACTAAAGCCCTAAAAGATCAACCACCAAACATCACCAATGAGTAAAACTACCAAGCTCTTTCGCACGGAAAAATTATTAGGTGCGGAGTGTGCACCGTCCGCACAAGCACTGGGTAACCAGCGGTACCCAGCGGTACCAAGCGGTACCGAGTGCCGGTACCTAGCTGGGTATAGTGCTTGTGCGGACGGTTCTCCCCATCCGCACTCCGCACCTAATAATCTCTCCTTTCGCACGACATTTGGACATGCAAAAATCTTTTTTATTTAATGAATCAAAAGGACAAAGCAAGGTCCTATTTATAGGCCTTTTCCAAGCCTATAAAACTTTAGAAAGCCTTGAGAGCCAAAAAAATATTATTAAATAGATTGATGATATGCCCTAATACCAAAAGAAAGGGGAAAAAAACTTAAATTAGAAGCTTCCAAATACATGAAGATTTGGATTGGCCACAAATGGAAAGTAGAATAGTCATAAAATCAATCAGTTTCTGAAATTTTTTATCTTTTTGACTTGTATGGCCCACCTGCTCATTAAAAGGCCTTAAATCAAGCTTTCAAATTATTCTCCAATAATTATAAAAGTAGTATGGGATATTCATGGGCTTGTCTGGAGAGTTTTGCATGATGATTGACCCAAATTTCGATAATGGACCTTAGTTTGTGATATTGTCATTGGCCTTTCTTGGTGATGCATCAACTCTACCGAACCTTAAAGAATAATGCTCTACAGAGTTAAAGTTCATGTATATATCAATAAGACTTGACATAAGTTTCTCTATAACTTTTTTATTCATCCATGTATCTTTAAAAGGAGATTGGTTTTACCATCTAACCAAGAGTTTAGGTCATGAATCTTTTATCATAGAGAGTTCGTCTGAAATGATGCCATAAATATTCAAGAATTGTGGTGTAGAGGCACCAGCAAAATTAGACATGTGTCTCATGCAATAAGTTTTTCTTGTAGATCACGAGTCTTAATAATAAGTTTTTCTTGTAAATCACGAGCCTTAATAATTCCTTTATAAGATAGTATATCCTCAATATTAAAAATAGAATTTATATACAGGTAGAAGAAAATTCAAGGAGATTGGCATTTGATCCAACTTTCTTAAGAATTTTGAATATATCATAAGTTATAACATGAAGCTTGCTATATTTGGTGCGGAAACGCTTTGGGGTAATTTGAATTAAGAAATATTCATCTTCATTATATTCCATAGTTGAATATTTATAATTTGTTAAGAATGTTTATAAAAGAAGCAGAATGATTGATGTAAGGTGACACCATGACCATGGGTCTTCTACCTCTGACACACTTAAAAAGCGCATGGGAGCTTCCTCTTATGTATGAGAAAAATGTACGAATTTCGCTGTCATATTGGAATAAGTGCTTATTTTGTAGATTTTTTCATAGCATTGGCACAATGTGCATGAGTATTTATTTCACATATTTCCCGGCATGATGAAACAACACAAATGAGTACTTATTTCATTGATTTTCTCATTGTATTGAAATAAGACACACTACTGTACTACTTATTTCACAAATTTCCCACCATGTTGGAACAATGATATTGAATATTTAATTTTGAGATTTTACAAATTATACATTGGCATGATATGATGCGATGAGGCAGCAATGAAAATTGAGAACGAAAACATAATTTTTTTGTGTTTTTGCAAATATTTTATTTTATTTTATTTTTATCTTTTTTGTTAGAGAGAGAAGGAACTTTATTTAGAGAGAGGAGAAGAGGGAGAAATACGATGGCAAATTATTAGGTCCTGTCACTGGATCTAATTTTTCGTCCGGATTCTATGCGCTTTTAGTGTGTTTTTTGTGCGCTTTTGATGTATTTTTGAAAAAAGAGCATTTAAAACATAATTTTAATTGCATTTAGTTGCTTTTTTGTTGAGTATTTGCAAACATATAATAAAAGTGTAACAAATATCTTACTCATTAATTATTTGTTGCCCTTTGCTGTGCTTGAAAGCAAGGAGGAAAGAGTTAGTCTGTGCAACAGAGCCCTGCATTGGGCACCCATACCCAAACCCACCCAACTACCCACCCATACCCAATGGGTATGGGTGGGTATGTGTATGCTCATAGACTTATGGGTGGGTATGGGTGGGTATTCAATATGGTGGATAAACCCTCAAGGAGATCATCCAGCCCATCTTCGAGGAGAAGTTCATGCTCCAGCCCATCCATGTCATTACGATGATGCTCGACCTGATCATGAAGATGCATTTGCATGGGTTGGGCATCAATGTTGATCAGATTGACGAGGCCAAGGAGAACTTGAAGGCATACATGATCAAGTACGGCCATGGCCTTAACTTAGTTGTCGATGAAGATGATGATGATGGCATAATTGTTCTACCGATAGAATGATGACTTATGCTGCTTATTAACACGTTAGTCCAATGCACCGCAAGCTTCATATAACATATTTTGCTGCACTTTAACAACTTGTCCCCTACATCATTATATAAAAACCATTTATTTTGTATTACAGGCATTTGGGAAATATGAAAATACATTTATTATGTTATTGCCTTCTACCTTTCAATTCTTTACAGGATTTCTTTTACGTCTAAGGTCAAGCAATGCATGGGTATGGGTGGGTACTTCATCCTGAAAAATATTATGAGTGGGGGTGGGTGGGCAAAGTCAGCTCACACAGAGCATGGGTACCCAATGGGTACTCGACCAGGACCCTGTGTAGGGCTCTGCTGTGCAAGGGAGCTCGGGGGGTTTGAGTGTGTCGTGAAGGCAAGGAGGAAAAGAGGGATTTGAGTGTCTCGCGGCGATGCTGCTGGCTATAATTTTTGGAGGCATGTAGAAGAGAAGGGGGTTTAGGAGCAGGTGGAAGCGTGCAAAACAGTGAGAATGAGAAAAAGCAGTGGGCTTGGCAAGCGGAAAAAAAGACGAGTTTGTGTTTCCTATAGCTTAGGATAAATCCAAGTCTTTTTTTTTTTTTTTTTTTTTTTTTTTTTTTTTTTTTATTTAAGTGGGCAGCAAAATAGGACATGGGTATACGGGATTTGAATAAGATTTGATACTATATATATACTATCAAAAAAATAGAATTTTTCAACTGATGTTAAATCCTTTTATTTCGCACTGGTTTTAACTGGTGCAATTAGCATCGATTTTGACCCTTGAGAAAACCCAGACAGCAGACCGAATCCCTAATTTTCAATATTATACGTGATTTAACGCTCGGCTCTCCCTCTTTCCTCTTCCCTATTCCCTCTTCTTTCATGCGTCCGTAACTCTTAGCCTTAGATTGGAGCGAATGACTGCATCGAAGCCTAAAGGTTGGAGCTGTTGCGACTCCTTTGCCTTAGATCGGAGTGAACCACTGCCAAACATCGCCTAAAGGTTGGAGCTGCTATCGTAGGAGCGACGTCATTACTGCCAGAACCCTAAAGCCTATCCGCTCGCACATCCCGCTCGAGTCCAGCTCTTCCTCTCCTTGGCCAATTTGTCCCTAAACTTGAGCTCACGCTCGTGTGAGCATGCTCGGCCCTACTTCGTCGCATGTGGTTTGATTCGAAATGCTTTAATATTCTAATTTGTGTTTTCTGCTATTCTTTTGTGGTTTCATTTGAAATACTTATGTAGCTTGTGGTTTCATTCCTAGAAAAGATGTGTATCTTGTCCGCTTCTCTTATTACTAGGTCTACCTTGCAAGGTATAGAAGAAAACTGAACGAAGTATTTCATCATATATTTTCTTACCCAGCTGAAAGTTAAATGAAATGCTATTGTTGTTCTCTTTCCATTCCTAGAGTCACTTAAACGCAGCTTGTTAAGGCTATCTTAAGCTTAATCCGAGATGAGAAGCTCGATTGTACGTAGCTGTTAAGTTTTACATTGGATCTTTTCATTAATTAAGGGGGTTTATAGGATAAGCTAAATTTTATATTCTATGTACGTTGAATATGTACATATATTGAAAATGTGTAATATAAGTAATTATTCCCTTATATGTTATGCCATGCAATCATATATATTTTATTGAATTTAATTCTTTGAACTCATAGATCAATAGTCTTCTATCAATTTCTTGATGGAAAGCATTAAAAAATGGCATCACCACCCTATATTGTCGCATAATTAAGTTCTCAAAATATTCATAGCAAATGAGTTTTGAAGGATTCCTTGATGGTTCTGTCATTTGCATTACAAAATATGTTGCCAATTTCAAAGATCTACCTCACCCAAATCCTCATCATATAACTTGGCTTCTCATAGACCGAAATTTTGTTGCTGCCTTTTATGCCACAACACTCACATAATTCCTTGTGTGCTTGACCTTACTACCTCCTCAGGTATTTTGAAAGCCATCAAATGGCATCTAAATTTTGTCAAACACTCCCAGATAAAAAAGTTAAAAATTAAGTAACACCATGCCTCCATTAAAAAAAACACACTATGTGTCATTACCTTACTATGAGCAAATCTATTGAAGATAACACTGTGGTTGTTAAGATCCCACAACGTTCTTAAGAAGCTATCTCTTTCCTATCAAGCTTTCAAGAAAACCATCTAAATGAAGTTATACCCTGTAACCATAATCTTAGGGGAAATTATTGGGTCAGGTCATCGGACACAGCTTACGTTCGGTATTCGCAGTACTGAGCTCGGTACTGTGAAATACTAAGTACCGAGCAGTACTGAGCTCGGTACTGAGCAGTATCGAGCTCGGTACCGAGTAGGAGGTGATGTGGCACATTTTCATTGGGCTCCGAACATGTCCGATGACCTGACCCAATAATTTTCCTTGAGAATATCTTTATTCCACTACTAAAAAATGATGTTTTCTATAGCATTTTAACAATCACTGCTATAGAGATTTTTTGGCTGACAATTAAACCACCAATTTTAATGGCCACAAGGTTGTGGGCACCACTTTTTAGGCAGCTAGGGGAGAGGCGAAATGGATCCACCTCTTGTAAACTTGGATCGGCCCATGCTGGCCCGATTGAGTCGGTTCTCTCTGAACCGACTCAACATCAAGTTGAAAAAATTGCCTCGATAATTAAAAATTTTTAACTAAAAAGCAACTTTAAGAAGCAGTAAGAAGTCCGTACCAAACGAAGCTTAAATCCTCTTTAGTGGGATGCTTTGGCGAACTTAAAAGGCCATAGCGAGTTCACTTTTCTTCTGATGACTTGACCTCACTAGCAAGATTATCACATTCTTTGGCGATATGTTGTATGTGACCAATTATTTTTCAAGCCAACTTGACTTGAACTTTGCTTGCTGAGACGGGCTGACTTGAACTTGACATAAGGGCTACTTGGGTATACAATATTAATCAAGAAGGAAATGCATCAGATGGCTAATCCTAAACTAAAAAGGGCCTGTACCACCTCTGATTCTTCCACTGCTTAAGCTGCAATTATCAAGAAACTTGCAAACCCTTGAGAACTCCTCACTCTATCATTTTATTTCCACTAGTAATTTACATCAAGTACAACCACATATCCGAGATTGGAGCACCCAGTTCATGGATTGATTGTGCAGAAAATCTCCCAGAAATGAAGAAAAGCCTTAGAATGTCATGACAGAGATGGCATTCTCTTAGTAGGAGAAGCTCCCGTTTTAACAAGTTGAACTGAAACCAGGCACTTTCTTAATGTCCATTTCTCGCATCATTCTCCTAACGTAAATAACATCATCAAATCGTTTTCTGATTGCATAAGCATCAGAAAGAAGAATGTATCCGCATGAATCATCAGCACCTAACTTAATAAAACTTGCTGACATGAGCTCTCCCAACTCCCTGTATCCGTGAGTCCTGCAGGCACTGAACAACGCCACCCATATCACATTATCAGGGTTCATGGGCATTGTTCTGATGACTTCCATGGCCTCCTTCACCTTCCCCGCTTTTCCATAAAGATCAACGATGCACCCATAATGCTTCAAACTTGGCATGATTCCATAATCTCTGCTCATCTGTATGAAATATTGAACGCCATTCTCAACCAGGCCAGTATGGGTACAGGCATGCAGGACACCAAGGAATGTCACACCATTGGGCCTCACTTTGAGCTCTTGTTTCATCTGTTCAAACAACTCCAAAGCTTTAACTCCATAGCCATTCTTTGCCAGTCCAAAAATCAAGCAATTCCATGATGCAACATTCTTAACCGGCATCGATGCAAAAACTTCCATAGCCGTTCCAATCAGCCCACAATTAGAGTAGATATCAATGAGGCTAGTTCCGAGAATCATGTTCAGCTCCAAGCCAGTCGCCACTATGTAGCCATGCATAGCCCTTCCAATGTCCAGTTCGCCTTGCTTGGCGCATAGGCAAAGAATGCCCACTAAAGTTGCATTGGTTGGTGACAAACCAGACCTGAACATCAAAGCAAACAACTTCAACCCACGCAACAACTCTCCGTGGGCAACAAAATTATTGATCATAGCACCCCAGGAAACATTGCTTCTCATAGGCATTTCATCGAACAGTTGATACGCATCGTGGAGAGACCCACAACAACCATACGCGTGGAGCAGTGATGTGGAAGAGAACAAGGTGAGATTGAGTCCATGCTTGATGAGGTGGCCATGGAGCTGCCTGCAATGGAGGTGGGCAAGGCTGTTAGAGCAGCAGTCAAGGAGGAAGCAGAAGGTATACTCATTGGGGTGGAAGCCCCTGAGGAGCAGGCTTAGATACAAAGCGAAGGACTTGAGAGGGTGGGAGGTTTGAGAGAGGGATTTAATGGCTATGTTGTAGGAGAAGAGATCAGGATAGTCGAGCTGGGAGAAGAGGACGACGGTGAGATCGGGACTGAGAAAAGTGGAGGACTTGAGAAGATGATTTGCTACAAAGGTGGAGCGGAGGAGGCCTGAGGTAATGTAATGGGCATGAATTTGATCGAATTGGTGGAGCGTTGGGTATGAGCTTAGCCTGAAGAGAAGGGAATTAAGAGTAGCCATCGTGGTATTTTTCTTCTTCTGGTCGCATTCTGAAGTTTTTCGCTTCATATTTTGAATTTCTGAAGTTAGATCGAAAAAAATATGGAATGGTAAATTTTAATTTAGATAAATAAATATTAAAAATATTTTAGATGTGATTTTCTTGGGGTAAATTTTAGAAGTTGGTTAAAGATTAAAATGATGTATAATTAAATTTAAGATCTTTAAATGTTTAAATAATTTAAATAATTTAAATGTAAATCTTTTTTCTTTTTAATATGGCATAAATCTTTCATATTTGTATTTAAAATTATGGGCTTCTAAATTTTCATATGAGTTTGTAAAAAAAAATTTAGAAAAACGATAAACTGATTAACAAACACAAAAATAAAAAAAAACAATACTTTTTTATTTTAATATTATATGTTTTGTTTGAATAAGATATATGGCATTATGGCAAGATCAACAATAAAAAAAGTGATTCTTATGTCAAGTGAATAGTTATTCAAATATCAATAAAAATCTACTCTTCAAATATGAATTTGATCGCAAAATTAAATTGAAAACATTCAAAATTATATTCTAAATCATTTGAGCTAAATTTTTTAGTAAATTTATAGTCAAATTAAACATCTTGCACTAGGTAAATTCATCGACACCATAAGAGGTTTGATATGACTTCAAATTAGTCTACATCAAGAACTAAGAATATAATTAAGAATTTTGTAACATTAATTGGATGATCAAATTATATCCACAATGCACATGCTTCTAGTCAAATAAAATATCTCGATAATGTGAATCCAATGAGTGCAACATCAGTATTATTTTTTTTTCCTTTTTTTTTAATGAACCTTGAGGTTGGACCTTAACTTAAAATTGGAGAAAACTTAGTTACTGTATAGCTTCCTTCTATCCACCACTATTCAAACTCCACCATCAAAAACTGACATTATACCACAATCATCCAACTATTGCTATTGGGCCACTATTGTCAAACTTCGGCCCTGTCATGACCATAATCACTTGACTATGATCCTCCAGTCTCCCCATAGTCTTCTAACCATCATCACACAACTATAATATGCTAACCAACCTTTCCCAACTACATTCCTTCAGCAATTATCATTTGAATAGAGTCCATAGAGCATTATTGCCTTACTACGATCATTTAGCCATCACCATCATATCATGGTCCTTCATCTATCATCACTTGACGACAATCCTTTGAGTTTCATCAGCTTTCTCTAACCACAACTATTCGACTTTGTTCCTCTGCCCACTACTGCCTTACTACAATCCTTCATCACCATTTCTTTAATATATTTCTACAACATAACCCGACTATAGTAGTCCAACCACCATTGATTGGTGATAGTCCTCCAATCACTATAGCTTGACAAAAAATACTTTGATTGTCGCCCAACTACTATTTTACATGCTAGATGGTTCAACTACAATCTATTGACCATTATTGCCCAATAATAGTCTCCCAACCACTATCACCCAACTATAATCTCTCGATCAACATCATCTTGATATGGTCAACAATCCTCTCATCTTTGTTTGACACTAATTTTTTACTCAGTATTGCTTGACTATAATCTCTCAAGCACCAATGCTTACTATGATCGCATGATTATGCTCTCTTAATCACCATAACCTAATATAATCTCATGGCCGTTGTCACTAGTGCACCTGCTTCATTACCACCATCAACACATGACATCACCTAAAAGATTAATGCACATCATTAACACTATCTTTGAATCTAAACATCAACACTAAGAATTATAGTAGAGTTCTTCATCTATAGTCTCATCTCTTTAAAGAAGAATAACAAAATGCCGGAAAAAAAAATCTTAAATAAAATTATAATAGCTTTGTTAAACTCCAGGTGTCTGCTGAGCTCATTGATGTTTGGATTATTATAAATATTATTAGTTGTGATGATTTTGGTATATATATATATATATATATATAAGCTGCTTTGATCCCACTTGCAATGGATTCAGGTCCTGTATACCTTACATGGCAGTCTCCGCCTTTCACAGAAAGTACTTCCACACTTCCACCATAGTTCTTAATGGCAGGTCGAAGTATGTCCAAATGACTATCCACAGCCTGTGAAAACCATGCAAGTTTTATATATGTATGAAAACTCCAATATCTATATCTGGAAAAAAAAATTTTAAGCAGGGTATTTGATATATTTTATATCAGAAAAGAACTAATTTTACTACAGGTATACTTTTTTTGGAACGGGTATCCACCTGCTGCCACCCCCGAAAGGGCGCTTGGCAGCGTGACTAATCCTCGGCTAACCTAGAAGAGGCACCCATCCCAGAAACCTCCTAGCCCGCACTTGATTAGGCCCCACTTAAGAGGCGCTGCCGCTCAATGGGAATCGAGCGTGGATTGGGGGGTTACTATAGGTATCCTTAATTTTATGAGTCACATTTTCTCTCTCAATACAACTAAATTATTAGAAAATATAGCTAAATTGAAAAAATAAATACAACTAAACTAATAGACATACACAAGCATAAGGATGAAAAAAAACTAACAACAACAACAAAATCAAGCATGTACCCTACTAAGTGGGGTCAACTATATAAATTATTATTTTTCCAATGTGTCCTGTTAAGAGCTAAATTTTCATTTAAATCTAATAAAAAAATGTCATTTATAATATTTTCTAATCAAGATATAGGAGACAAAAAAAATGTATGAAAACTAACATGAAATCATGGGAGAAAAGACTCAGATGATTTAATGAATATATGTAATAAACTTGGTCTCATTTTGATACAGAATATATTAGGATATCTTGATAACTTATTTTTTTCATATATAGATATATGGGAATCCATGATCCTGACCTCAATAGTTGTTCCGGTCTGTTCCTCATCAAAAACCTGGCGTATGTCTTTCACAGCATTTCCAAACTTCTCTTTCAACACACGCTCTATCCCCATCTTCATGGTGGTTGTTGAGCTAGGACAGCTGCCACATGCTCCTGTCTCATAATAGATGTAGAATGATCCTTTTTAAGTCAATATAATAGAAGAAATTAAAAAGTATCAAATGATTTTATGGAAATGCACGTTCATTAATATTAGGAAATAAATATAATGGGTAAATTAGGATTAGATTGACAAATTTTTGCGAGCCATTGTAGTTCATGGATAAATAATGAGTATTAGGGCGTTCATACGTAGTTTAGGAGTCTATATAGTAATGTTTTTTATAAATAATCTCCTTTAAAAAATATTAAGGTTTGAAAAATGAAAGAAATGAGTAATGACTCTCCTCCCTCCCTCCAATGAATATCTCGAGTTCTGTTGGGCAAGTTCAAAGTTGCCTAGTAATATTGTTACCAGCTTGATTTTTCTCTTAGGTTTGTAAGAGTTAGAACTAAATCTTGGCCTCAATGCTTTGAAGTTCATGCTTGCATTTTCTACATGATAATATAGAAATGATAACTACAAAACTTAACTAAATCTGCCTTTCAGAAATTTGATAACTAAAGTTTAAATCCAAATTCAGACAAACAAGGGATAACAGACTGAAGGAAGCATACCATGCAGTATAAAAATTGACCATTTCCAGTATATAATAGTTTTCAAGACCCAAATTAACTAAAACAACATATAACGATAAAAGCTTTATCCTTCCTTATTGCCTTGTTTTAACTTAATAAAGTGTTCAAATTCCTGACAACTACATGTTTGCTTCATTTACGAGAAAACGATTCCTATTTCTTCTATACATTAAAGATTAGGAAAAACAAAAATAGAGTAAAGGCTACAGTTAAAAGTCATAAAAACTTGAAGAAATTAATCCTTATATTTTAGGTTTTATAGAAAATAGCATACTACTTTTCTCACGCTCATTGTATGGGTACTTAAATTTAGGAAAACACAAATTTCCATGCTTAAAGATAATAGAGCTGCTATCCTACTGAAAAAAAAACAAACTTTGTTAAACAATACAATAACAACAACATCAAATTTTTATCCCACTATGTGAGGATGGCAACATGAATCCTTTTTCTCCATTGTATCAACCAAAAATGTTACTTATGAGTGTAATTTGATTATATTGATCAATCGAGTTGTACTGCTGACTCAGACCTCAATTCCATTGATCGAGCTCAGTGGGGGGTTGCAAGGGACTTGAATTTTTTTTCTTACAACCATATAGCACTGTATACCCGGCTCTGCGGTATTGCATAATTTGCTTGGAAACAAACATAGAGCTGAGCTCTGCGGCACTTCAAAAATAAAATATATAGAATCTCTCTTTTTTATTTTATTTTTCTATTTTCTTTTTCCTTTTTTTTTGAATATTTTTTTTTCTCACATACAAACACACATTTTTATGAATAAACATATTTTCTAGCAACAACACACAATTAGTGCCAAATTAATTAGCAATAGCAACTAATATCAATAATAATGAAAGGGAAAAATTAAGATATAAACAAAAACTTACTGTTTTGGGTTTAACTTGGATGAATGGGGTTTGGGTTTGATTTGAGTGGAATGGGCTTTAGTTTGGGTTGGAAACGAGTGGAGATGGGTTTAGGGCTTGTTTAGTAGAGATGAGGCCTTGGTTTGATGTGTGTATGCGGCTTACAAAGAGGGAGTCGAGTAGATGGGTTGGGCTAGGTGTTTCTGCGGCTCGGGTAAAGGAGGGGACGAGAGAGATCGGGCAAGGCTTGGGCCGGCTATGGCTTTGGTCGGGCTTGGAGAATGGAGGAACCAGCTAGGTAAGGAGAAAGTTCTCTCTCTCTCTCTCTCTCTCTCTCTCTCTCTCTCTCTCTCTGGAGGAATCGACTATGAGAGGGGCTGTTGGAAGCTCGGTCGGTTCTTAGGGGCTGTTGGAAGCTCGGTCGGTAGTGAAGAGAGTGAGGGTTTTCGCGTCGGATTGAACAGGGTCCTGTGAGCTCGAGTCACAAGGCTTGCAAGTTTCAACAGAGAGATGGAGTCTTCGGTTAGCTTCAGGTATGAGAGCCGTTGTCGGTTGTTGATCTTACGACAAAGGAAGAGGTGGAATCGGGATTGAAGGTCGAGGATCGGAGGGGGAAGGCTTCAGCTGTAGTGGTTTAAGTGAAGCAGAAGAAGGGTTGGACAAGGCAGAGGCTTTCACGCGAGAGGAACTTTGAGTGTGGGAAGAGGGAAATGCAAGCCTCACTTCATCGTCGTATTTAACGACTCAATCTGAGCAAATCTCTGCATGCATCTCCGCATGCGGGCGACAAGATGGTTTGACACCGCTTGCAGGAGATAGGATTGTAGCAGCGGCAGATCTTCGACAGGATTTGAGCACAGGCAATCATTTTAAAAAAAAATTATTTTGTTTTCCCTTTTTTATTCAGCTGTATGGGTCAACATGATGGTATTCGAACTTCAGGTCCATCGTCGTGAATACTATCGCTCCACAAAGCTCGTCTAATAGCTCATCAATCACCGAATAGGAAATATGTCTGGCACATTCTCCTTATTCAAGGCATACAAAATCTCCAGCTTCAATCCTTCTTTTTGACCAATAGAATTGGGCTAGAGAAAGGACTCACGCTCAGCCTAATGATCCCTACCTCCATGCTCCAACATCTCCCAAATCAATTTCTCAATCTCATCCTTCTAAATCTGAGAGTAGCGATAAGGCCTAACACTGATCGGTGACACCCCCTCCCTCAAAATGATGGCGTGCTCCTACTCCATCAGTGGTAGCAACCCTTGAGGTAGCTGAAAAATCTTATTGAGCTGTTGTATGACCGATTGTACCAAAAGAGATACATCTCCCTCTTCCGCTTCTCTAATCTCCTCTAAGCTCTGCAGCTCAACCAGAAATTCTCATCCCACCTCCGATATAGTACTTACTATGGTTTTGAGAGATACCCTGGCTTTGGAGAGCCCTGCATCTCCCATATCACCACCTTTCTCCCTTCCACCATTAGCTCCATTGTCAACGTACCCCAATTTACCTTGGTATCCCCCAAGATGTGCAACCACCTCATTCCTAGGATGACATCAATGCTCCCTAGCTCTATTGAGAGAAAATCTTCCCTCACCTGGATTCCCTGTATAGTTAGGACCAATCCCATACACACTCCTCTACATGTCTTCATCTTCCTAATCCCCATCATCACCCCATAAAATTCTGTCCACTAGTTTCATCCTCAATTAATCTACGACCTGGATGGAAATGAAGTTGTGAGTAGCCTCACTGTCTATCAACACAACTACCTCTTTATTTGCTATTTCTCCTCTCACATTTATAGTGTGATTCGGAGTGAACCCTACCATTGAGTTCAAGGAGACCTCTGTCATGTCAAAATGCAGCTTTTCCCCTAAGGTGTGCAGCCATCTCAAAATGCATCTTTTCCAGTGTTTCAAAAGGATTTGGAAAGGACATTTGGATCTTTAAACATTGAACTTTACCCCTAAATTTTTCCATCAAATTTTGGATGTGGATCTTGAGTTCAATTTTTAGTCTCAATAGAGATAATGGAAAATAACTTACAAATTCATCCATTATTTGAAAACATATGACTCAATAAATAAATGAAAGCTTAGAAAGAAAATTTTGGAAGTCTTAGGCACTATAATCAATCAATAGTAATAAAACTTGGCAAATAATTTCTTACTATCCTTAGAAAAGGAGATCACCATAAGTTGAATCTTGATGTTGCAATCTTCTAGTCATCCGAGGTTTGGCTCGAAAACAAAAAAGAAGTTACTTGGTCGAGGCCTTAATCGAGAAGGAATGGCACTTTCACTTGTTGATTATGAAGTGGAGAAGATGTGGTGAATAATTAAGAAATACTGGTAAGGATTGGATTAGACTTTTGGAAGGTAATAGGGTTGGCCTAGATATGATATTAGGAAAAGAAATTATTTATGGAGGTTGGGATTAATGGAGGCTTGGGTTTGGATGGCTAAGGGTGTGGCAAAGAAGTAGGAATAAGGTTTAAGGTTTGGAAACATGATGAAGGAGTTGTAGTAGCTTGTAAAGGGGAAGAGAGGAAAATTAAGATTTCTAGGATGCAAAAAAAATTGAAAGCCTTAATTCATTTATATTATTTTTTCATGGAGAAGTGAGGGAATCATAATACATTCAAATTCAAGTGTTGATGCAAAGTCACCAAATGATCATCTCGCCCTAGTGGCACTCATGCTGCTCTTATCCTCAGCATATATAGCTACACATGCGAGCGCTTGTTGTGCTCGTTTGCTCTCTTTCTCACTCATCATCGTGAATTTTGGTTGCCTTAGCAAGGCGCATTGAGCTCATTTTCTTCCTCTGTCATGCATTATAGATTGCTAATGAACACTCATTACACTTGTGTGTTTCACATGTTTATTTTCCATCCATAGATATCGTGGTAACTGATTAGTATGTTTTTTAGCCCATTGCTATTTTTGTGTGTTTGCCTCAACTTAAGATGTAGGCACCTCTAGGTGTTGAATCCTACCAATGTCATCTTCGACTTCGACGTTCAGGATAATGCACTTGCTAGCTCATTATAGCATGCTTCATTTTATCTTCTGTTCAACAACATTTGGGCCTTCAACATGCTTTCTTACTTCCAGTGAAGTTGATTCACTCGCCATCTTCTCTGATGCATGCTCTTCAGTTTGTCTATCCTAGTAGGGCTACTCACCGCCATTAGTTCCAATGCCTACAAATTCATCCATGACTCTTCCTCCTACAAACTCCCAAGAGAATCATCCTCCTTTTGTGCGACAAACTATGACAATTATTTCTTCTCGCATTGGCGCCCCTCGGTTCTTCACTGCAGTTGTTACGAGTCAATGACTATAGAAGCTCATTGGGCTTCAAGTCAAATTGATTGAACTAGTACCTAAATAAGACCTGTTTAGCACCATTCACTCGATACAAACTTTAAGGGGTAAAACAAAGTCCTTGAATGCTTGAACCAATGGAAATGATACTTAAAAGAGCCTACATGACGCAAAAATGATGAATTGGCCCAAATTGAATTGGATTATACTAAGTGCTAGAACGATCATCTTTCTTGCTCATTAAACTGATAAACCCAATATCCCTTGCCAAAAAAGAAAAAGCCCTTGTTTAGCACTAGTGGATGTTGGAAAGCTAGATCATCTTGAGATTATACTGATCGCTATGTTCCATCTCATGATGAGCCATTTGTCTCAAAACATTCCGCTCAAAATGAGGAATAATTTTCCAACATCCATTGCGGATATTAAGGATTGTTTCATGAAACACCAACCATTCACTTTCATTGAGATCATCACATAATTATAAATATGCACATATATGCACATATTTTCCCATCTCCCATCAAAGGTAAAGATAGGTGCCCAGACTGCGGTCACCTGGACCTCGTATAAAGGTCGGTTGGCCTAAGCATTGTACCATCTCATCAAATTTTGCACAATTGTGATGGTCAGATGGGGATAACCATTTTGTTGGACAAATTATGCATCGATCAAAAATCCGGATATTCTAAAACTTACCCTAGCCAGATCAATAAATACGGATCCCAATTAAATCAATAAAAGGGATAGAATTGAAGTTCAAAGAGGGAGCACAAGAGGCGTAGGAGAAATATCTGCTCTGAACCTTCATCCGATCCGTGGATTTTTATTTAGCCAATTATCTTATCTTTGGGCAGGATGCCAGAGCTCTCTATTGAAATTGCCAAAACATTGCTTAAACTCTGTTTGATTAAACGCTCACTATATCAAATTAAATTCCCCTGCCACAAAGCTTACCTCGGTCAACCAGCACTTGCGCGCTTTGCTACATTCTAGTCTCCCCGCAATCAGTCGGGCTCCTCCACAATCACCTTAGCAGCTATCTTTTTAAATTACCAGACAAATACAATGAGGGAAAGTGATTGAGAAATCAATGTTTCAATAAAATTCGTCCGATAAATCCTCTTCAATTTTGCAATAACATACAAAATTTAATGTAGGTAGATCGAATATGGATGATACCTTGGAGTTTGAGGGAGATAACTCCGTCTTCCACGGGGCAAATTATTGGGTCGGGTGACCGAAGCCATCTCTCCGTTCGGTCGCCAATGGAAATGCGACATCTGTTAGGCGTTTTTTTAATTTATTATTAACGCTTTATGTCTTGTCAGATTAGCGACCCGACCCGATAACGCCTTTCATTTGAATTCCGGGAAATAAAGAATGGAAACGCCGCGCGACATCTTCACTGTTACTCCAGCTCCAGCTTTGGTTAGCGCTCTCGGATTCCTCCATTTCCTTCGGTTCTGCATTAGCTTATTCCTGCCGGAGGTAGACGACGAAACTGTAGCAGATCATAAATCAGGAAGAGGTATGGTTGCGCCTAACTTGCGCTTGACTTGCGCTTTCGTTGCGTTTAAGTTATACGTTAAATTTATAGCGCAACCATAGCGCAACCATAGCGCAACTATAGCGCAAATAGCGCAACCATAGCGCAACCATAGCGCAACTATAGCGCAAATAGCGCAACCATAGCGCAACCATAGCGCAACTATAGCGCAAATAGCGCAACCATAGCGCAACCATAGCGCAACTATAGCGCAAATAGCGCAACCATAGCGCAACCATAGCGCAACCATGCTTTCTTACTTCACATGCTTTCTTACTTTGATGTTTAGGATGATGCACATGCTAGCTCATTATAGCATGCTTCCTTTTATCTGTTGTTCAACAACATTTGGCCATCAACATGCTTTCTTACTTCCAGTGAAGTTGATTCACTCGCCATCTTCTCTGATGCATGCTCTTTAGTTTGTCTGTCCTAGTAGGGCTACTCACCGCCATTAGTTCCAATGCCTACAAATTCATCCATGATTCTTCCTCCTACAAACTCCCAGGAGAATCATCCTCCTTTTGTGCGACAAACTATGACAATTATTTCTTCTCGTATTGGCGCCCCTCGATTCTTCACTGCAGTTGTTACGAGTCAATGACTATAGAATCTCATGGGGCTTCAAGTCAAATTGATTGAACTAGTACCTAAATAAGACCTGTTTAGCGCCATTCACTCAATACAAACTTTAAGGGGTAAAACAAAGTCCATGAATGCTTGAACCAATGGAAATGATACTTAAAAGAGCCTACATGACGCAAAAATGATGATGAATTGGCCCAAATTGAATTGGATTATACTAAGCGCTAGAACGATCATCTTTCTTGCTCATTAAACTGATAAACCCAATATCCCTTGCCAAAAAAGAAAAGCCCTTGTTTAGCACTAGTGGATGTTGGAAAGCTAGATTTTCTTGAGATTATAGTGATCGCTATGTTAAATCTCATGATGAGCCATTTGTCTCAAAACATCCCGCTCAAAATGAGGAAAATTTTTCCAAAATCCATTGCAGATATTAAGCATTGTTTCATCAATTTGTTTCATGAAACACCAACCATTCACTTTCATTGAGATCATCACATAATTATAAATATGCACATATTTTCCCATCTCCCATCAAAGGTAAAGATAGGTGCCCAGACTGCGGTCACCGGGACCTCGTATAAAGGTCAGTTGGCCTAAGCGCTGTACCATCTCATCAAATTTTGCACAATTGTGATGGTCAGATGGGGACAACCATTTTGTTGGACAAATTATGCATCGATCAAAAATACGGATATCCTAGAACTTACCCTAGCCAAATCAATAAATACGGCTCCCAGTTAAACCAATAAGAGGGATAGAATTTGAAGTTCAAAGAGGGAGCACAAGAGGCGTAGGAGAAATATCTGCTTCTGAACCTTCATCCGTTCCGTGGAGTTTTATTTAGCCAATTATCTTATCTTTGGGCAGGATGCCAGAGCTCCTATTGAAATTGCCAAAACGTTGCTTAAACTCTGTTTGATTAAACGCTCACTATATCAAACTGAATTCCCCTGCCACAAAGCTTACCTCGGTCAACCAGCACTTGCGCACTTTGCTACCTCCACAATCACCTTAGCAGCTATCTTTTTAAATTACCAGACAAATACAATGAGGGAAAGTGATTGAGCAATCAATGTTTCAATAAAATTCATCCGATAAATCCTCTTCAATTTTGCAATAACATACAAAATTTAATGTAGGTAGATCGAATATGGATGATACCTTGGAGTTTGAGGGAGATAACTCCGTCTTCCACGGAGACCACATCGACGTTCCCCCCGTCAGTTATGAGGTACGGACGGACGTCCTCCAAAACCAAGTCCACGTTCTTCGTATTCAGCTCGTAGACCTTTGCTGAATAGAGCCCTGGAGAAGGAGGCGATGGCACTGACGGTGAAGTGTAGAATGCATTGACAGAATCACTACGAGAGGAGACCCGTAGCCGGACATCCTTCTGATGTCGTAGGCCTCGAAAGTTAAGAGAGGGGTAAAGTTTGGAGGTTTGGGAGATAGAAGGGTGAAATATTCCTCCTGCCTGTGAGCTAGCCAAGGTAAGAGACGCCATGGCTGTCACCCGCTGACTGCCAAAGGAGAGAGAACAAAACAATGGATGGAAACGAAGAGTATTTGGCTTAGGGCAGTTTGGTTGCCTCAAAAGTAAAGCAGTGTAAAAAGAATCGTCTGCAAAATTAATACAATTCAGATGTTTGGGTGATCCTAAAAAAAATTTAAGATATATATATTTTTTTGAAGTAAAATAAATGGTATATAAAGTGTAAAAAAAGTAATTATCGGTGGTGGCAATGGGTGGCGGTGATGGTGGTGGCCAGCAACAGTTGGTGGACGATGATGGAGGTGATTGACGGCGATGGAGGTTGGTGGTCGATTGCATGGTTTTAAAAATCAAACCGGGTTGAGCGATTCAATTGTTTGAATCGTGAACAGGTCGGCGGCCGGTTCGGTTTCATTACAAACTAGGGCGCTTAGAGAACCAAACAAAAGCCGATCGGCCTAGCTTTCAGACTGTCGAACCAGCGAATCAGAGTCGGTTTTAAAAAACCGCTCGGTTCAATTGCAAAATATGAGCCATCCAATTTACATCAAGCGGTTTATGAGAAAAATGTAGGAAAGAAAAAAACCTAATTTTCCTATTCAGCGCTATTCCAATATCATTCGTAGGGCTGCAAACGAACTGAGCTGAGCCGAGTACGTGAGTGTTCATGTTTGTGTTCATTTAATATCAGGTTGTTCAAATTTGGTTCATGTTTGTTCGAGCTTTATTGTTTGTGTTCATGTTTGGTTCATTTAAATTAATGAGTGTTCATGTTCGGTTCATGTTCAGTTCATGTTCGTTCGTTTAATGCTTATCGAGCTTTAAAAAACAAACATGAACGAGCTATAAATGAGCTTTACTTTTAGAAGTTTATTAACTTAACAAACGAGCTTTATCAAGCTTCCTAACAAACGATTACATCGAGCATGTTCGTGAACATATTTAACAAATTTTTTTTAACTATCAAACAAACTCGTTCATGAACAAATCTATGAACAAACACATTTATAATAAAAGCAATTGTTTATGTAACAAAGTCACTGATTTATAAGCAAAAACTGTCTTCACAGAATTTTCCTAACAACAACATTAATAAAGGCGATGATTTATAAATAAATAGTCATATAAAGCTACAATTACTTAGACAACAAGTTTTTTTTGTCGAGCTTATTCACGAGTTCAAAATCGAACACGAATCGTGCTTTTATCGAGCTTCTTATCGAGCTTAATGTCGAGCTTGTTCACGAACTTCAAATGATGTTGTTCGCGAACATAAATGAGTCAAATGCATTAGTGTTCAAGTTAGTTTATTTAAGAATCGAGTATTTAAAGTAGTGTTCAAGTTTATTTATTTAGTTAATTAAACGATCACAAACCGGCTTTAATCCAACCAACAACGATTAGCTCCTCTTGGTTCGCTTGCAGCCCTACTCATTGGTCTTCGTTCACCTGTTCGACCTTCCGTTGAATAAGTTTCGGCGTTTCACCCTTTCGAGCTTCTGTTCCTTTCATCTCAACATCCGTCTTCGCAGGCGAACTTGGCCATGATGAAGGTAGAAGGCTCTTCTCATTCTTTTCGGCTTTACATGCAAGCAACCAAACCGATGGATGTAAGTTCTTTAGAAATGTATTTTTTAAGGTTTTATTTTTGATTTTTGATTTTTTAAAATTTTTAATGTTTGAGTTGTGATCTCTATTGGGTTAAGAAAAAAAACAAAATAAGTTAAAATTAGTTTTGTTTCCGAATTTATGTTCGTAGCTGTTTTGTTTGAGTTTGTGCTGCATCTTGCTTATTTCTTTTACAAACAAGAAGATGCTAAGCACAGTGTCAAGTGATTTAAAATTTTAGCTCTACTAATTGCTGCTACACATCAAACTGAGGTATGCATTCCTCCCTCAATGCATTGTGATAATAATGATTTAGTTGATTTAATCATTTTGTGCAGAACTAGGGGCCGCGGGATGGCCGGGCCACCTCGTGCGGGAATCTAGAGCCGCAACGTGTGTCGTTAGATTTGGTGATTTTAAATCGTATCTTTAAGTTTATTTGTGTAAGAAAATTTATTTTTAATATTCTTAAATATATCTGTCATTTTTGGAAAATATTACGTATTGTTGAAATTAATATTTAGATTTACTGAATCTGGATTTTGTATGTGCTGAAATTAATTCTAATATTAGCTTAAATCAAGCTTAGATTGTCATATTATTATGCCAATTTTATTAGTTTTAATAATTATTATGTTTTCCGATTCGATCAGTCGAACCAGTTGAACCATAAACGTCTCCTTCTTCTGATTCATTGTTTGGTCTGATTTTCACAACCTTGATCGACCATGACAATTGCAATAAATTTTCATTATATTTAGAAATCACTCAAATCAATGAAATTTCAAATACGCTAGATTTGAACTAGATGATGAATTCCTTTTAGTTCAAAATTTTACTATGCATTTATTCTAATTAAAACAAAGCAACAATATTTTCATAATCCCTATATTTACAATACTTTACACATCTTTTCAAGCAAAACAAAAAGCCCATTAATAAATAATTAAGTTTTTTTTTTTTTGGTCAAATAATAGGATATGCTTATTCCCCTATTGAAGGATACAATGCTCACTATACTGAGAATTGATTTTTCCCACTATTCCATGTAGGGGTTTAAACTGGTCGGGTCTAGTTTGAGTTTGGGCTAACTCTAGCTCAACTTGTCAACTCAGAGATAAGCTCGAACTCGACCTCGGCTCACCGGAGTTACGATAGGCTCGAGTTTGACTCGCAAGCTTGCCTCACCGGAGAAATAATTCAGGACTCCTACTCATTAGAGACGACATGCTAGAGCTCAAATCATGAGCTTGGCTCATCATAAAGAAGCTTAAACCCTGAGTGTGGCTTGCCGGAGAAAGGAAGAAATAATGATTTTTTTTTTAAGTTCTAAAAGTTGCAAGCAAAAGTATTAAATCCAATTAATGTTTTTTCATTTTTTTTAATATGCATTTAGACATATGCATATTTTTTAAATAATAAAATTTTTACATTTTTTAAATAGTAGTCTAACCAAGTCAACTCATGAGCTGACAAGTCGAGTCTCATCAAGCTCAAACTCGAGCTAGTTTAATATGTGAGCTTGAAGCTTAATAAGCTCAACTTATGAGTTCATTGCTAAGTCAGATTTGGCTGACTTACACCCCTGATTCCATGCACTTTTAATGAACATTTATTCCTATTTTATGTTATTTGTTTGAGATTTTTTCTTATAATATAATTGAAGATATTTACTTGAAATAGAAAAAATAATTGATGATTCAATTTTTTTTTTCCTCAAAGATCTTGTAGATCTTATGTACATAATTACAAAGATGGATATAAATCGATTTAATTTGAAGCGAGAGGTAATGTATCATGTTGGTTGAGCACAATCCATGATACCAACTCCTCAAATAGAAATATTGATAACATATGATGTTATTTTTGGAGAATTATCTGTGTACAAAATCAACATTTACAAATCATAAATCTATTCATGAGCAATATCCATAGTTTTATTTTGAAGTCTTTATTATCCTATAACAACTTTTATCCATGTCGACACGCTCACCAAAATACTTAAAATTCTGTACAGTCAAAATATCCAATGAAAGTATGAGGTTTTCTTGTAACATGACTAGAATAGTCTATTCTATAACATACAAAAACATACATGATAGAAAGTTCCTAAACTCCATTTTATCAAATAAATGAACAAAACTCTCACATAAGTGACTCAAATTAAAAATTTGATAGGTAACAACAACTTGCCTTTATCAAGACAAATTTTTCCAACTAGCTATGCAAGAAAAATTAGCTCTAGTACCTCCAAAAAATACTTTCTAACTCTGGATTCTCTTCTTCTTTGTCTCTAACTAGTTGCCCTTATAAAATAATAAATAAAATTTTAAATGATTTGGATAATTATAGACCTAGTTCTATAACACCAGATTCCTTAGTGTCGCACTACTCCGATGGAAAATTTCCACATTCATGATAAAGAATTCATCATCATCGTTGTGCCAACTTTTCATTCATAGTGCTATTATACTCGACCCTTAGTCTTATTTAGAGTGTAGTGATGTATGCAATAATGATGTAGTGGGGCTTATGTAGATTATCGAGATTGATTCTACCTAGCTTAGCTAGATGTGACATACAAGATTTAATTATGATTAGGTTTTCTTTGATATATCAATAATTAAAATCCACTTAAATATATGCAAGTATATGTGTCGAATTAAGTAATAAAGTAGAGTGTCAAATCCATGAGGAAGAGTTATGCTTACTTGCAATAAAATCAATACTATTTACTCTAATTGTATAGTTTATCCTACTGAAATAAAGATAATTTTTGTGAGTTCCTACCAATGAATAAAAAAAATTAAATTAGTTGACACAATTTTAATAAAATGTTATGGATTGATGCATGTAAATATCATATTTTTCCTAATGATACTCTTAATTTTAAATATGGATCATAGCATATGCATCCCTAAATCTCTACCAAGTTTGTATGGGGTGAGAATGATATACATTGACCTCCTATAATTTTAATATCTCTGTAGAAACTAGAATATTTAAACATCATGTGTCTAGACATACCAAAATTTTATCTCAACACTCCTGATTATTCTTACATTCCTTCAACGAGGCTATACATCATACTAAGTTTTAACTACACATATGATCATTATATGCATTAAATGAAGAATGAAATATATTAAAAAAATCAATAAATTATGTAGAGTGTAAGAGTCTATATTATTGCTTAATATGCTATTTACATCATCAATAAAACATAAGAGATCTAGCTAGACATAGAAGAAATAACAAGCAAACTAATTTTTATTATATTCATAGAAGAATCAAAGTACAAGAGAAGTATTAGAATTTTATCACTAGAAAGAATCAAAGTATCTTTTTTACACTTCTTCCTCCACTTACATAGTGGCTTATATAAACATCAACTAAACTCTCTTAGAGATTGTATCTTGTACTGCCTCAACCTCTCTTAGATTTTACTCTAAGAGAGTGCTAGAGAAGTAAATTAGAGATGTACTAAATTTTACTCAATTGACTGGAATCCTTTACAAA